ATGAGGGGAACGAAGGGGAAGACGCACCGGAGATGAGTCCGGCGGAGGGAACACTAGGCCGTAGACAGGAAGAGGAGGAGGCGGCGGGGGAGGCGTAGGCGGCGGTCAGGGGCAGGGGAGGGAAGGCCGAGAAGGCGAAGGGCGGACACCGCGGCGACTGCTGCTGCTGCTGCTCGACGCCGACACCTAGACCACCAGCTGCACCACGGTTACCTCCGAACACTCCACTCCAGCACCTCGAGAACAGGCACCCCAAGAGCAAGAACTCTCTCTACCACCGGTGCCACCCCCAGGCCCGCCGGGACAAGCCATGACACGAACCCCAGGACTAGCACCCTCCTCAATGCCAGCACCCCCAGAGTCCACGAACGGTTGCTGCTACTGCGGTGGTGGCGCTGCTGCGGCTGCGGCTGCGGCAACGACTGCGGCTGCTGCTACGGTGGCGACTGCGGCGGCTACTGCGACGGCGGAGGAGGAGACACTGGGGGGGAGGCAGGCGGCGAGAACGGCGTCGTGGGGCCACCAGAATCAACCGACTCCTCGACCGGGACAACCGACGGGAGAGGAGTGACGTAAGACACACGAGACGGAGCAGGACGGGGAGAAAGGGGAGTAGGGGCGACGGGTGAGTGGGGACCAGAAACAGGGGAGGGGAAACCGAGAGACCTCGGTGGGGAAAGCGGTGGTAAAAGGAGAGACTCGTCGAAAATGGCGTAACGGGAGTAAAAGAAGCGGTGAGACAGCGGTGGTAGAAGTGCCAGTCAGACGAGTCAAGGGGGAACCCGAGGAAGACACAGGGGACAGTGCGGGCAATGAGCTTGTCCGTGCCAGAGGCACGAACGTGAGTGAGGCATCCCCAAACGTGGAACGCGGATGCGTCACCAGGGAACCCAGTCCAAAAGGGTTAGCGAAACCTGTGGCCGCTAAGAGTGCGGTCACATGTTAAGCTGGTGAGCGGCATAGCGAACAGCGAACGCCACAAAAAATGGGGTGCACCGGCATGGATCATGGAGGTACGAGCCACCTCCATGACCAAACCAAAGCGTCGCTCAGCGACCCCATTCTACTGCGGGGAGTCCAGAAAGGTGTACAAATGGGTGATGCCCTCCGCACGACAGAACTAGCCAAGGCGACCGGAGGCAAACTCGCCACCACGGTCGGAGAGGAGACACAGCACGGGGAGACCGCGGTGGACGCGCGCAGCTACGACCCACGGGATAAGATTGTTAGGCACGTCGGCCTTCCGCTCCAGGGGAAACACCATGGTGTAGCGCGTGAAGTCGTCGACGAGCACAAGAAAGTAGCGCTCGCGACGGCGGTCCAGGGACGGGGGCTGGGCCCCAGACGTCCAGGTGCAGGGTCTGGAAGGGTGCGGTGGCAGGGCGAAGTGAGGAGGAGTGAGGAGCATGGCGCAGCAGGCCCTTGACGCAAGGCGTGCACGGGGGCGAAGGTGAGAGAGGGAGGGCAGGAAGGGACGCAGGGAGACCGAGGACTAGACCGTGCTGAGACACGTGACGCAGACGCGGGAGTGCGGGGTGACCTAGGCGGTGGTGCCACAGAAGCGACGGGTTAGTGAGCGACCGACACAAGCAGGCCACAGCGACCTGGGTAGACGCAGGACCCGGGGAGGACGCGCCCACCGGGGGAAGCAGTGTCCAGCGTAAACAGGCCAGACACCGGGTCTCGGGGGAACGTCGCAAGGGGGCCACCTGAGGCGGTCTCGGTACAGACAGCGTACTGCTCGTGACCAGGGAACGTAGTGGTGACGCCGAGGGTCCTGAAGACAGCCGACACCAACTAAGTTCCTGGAGAACGAGGGGATGTGCAGGCGTGTAAGGGAACCCGAGGGGGCCGCAGGACAGGGGAGGGTAGTGGAGCTGCGAGCAACGACAGGACCAGAAGAAGGGTCCGCAAGGGCGACAGAGGCAGGGATAGCGAGCGACATGAGGGTGGCGTGGTCGTGGAAGAAGCAGGCAGACGCACCAGAGTCGAGCATGAAGGACAGCAAAGAAGTAGTTGCAGACAAGGGAGGAGCAAGGGTAGAGCCTATGCTAGACAAAGCAAACGGTCCTACGCGTGACGCAACAGGGGAGTTTGTACTACACACACGTGCTATGCCTAAACTAGAGAACACAGGGTAATAAGATCCGGACACACTAGAAGCGTCAGCAAGCACTAATCTGATCCATGTCTAAGTCAAACGTAGGCACACCGTGACGGAGCAGACTGGGCCAATCAGGGAGGTCCGGGGCCGGGCCGAAGCGGCGACGAAAGAGGCCGTCGAGGCGGCGGAAGCAGCTGGTGGTCGGGTGCGGGCGGCGGCACACAGTGCCACAAAGGGGCCCGGTCTGGAGCTGGTACTGGCAGCTCAGAGCACCGAATCCGCCGGTAGATGCCGAGCTGTGGCGGCCGCCACCGCAGCCACCACCTCCTGGGGCTCCTGGCCACCCCGGCGGGAGGCGGGCCCACGATTGCTGCTGCTGCTGTGGCTGCTGCGGAGATTGCGGCAGCTGCTGTGGCGATTACTGCTGCTGCGTCTGCTGCTGCTCCTAGACACCAGCCCCAACCCCCTTGTCCGAACCACTATCCCCGCCACCACCACTACCACCACCAGCGCCACCACCACGCCCTCCCTTGGGGCCGCGACAGCCCCTACGTTGTCGCTGCTGCGGAAAGGCCATAGCTGTGGTCTCAGTGGTCGGGGCAGCCGTAGCAACCACGGCAGAAACGTCAGCGTATGTGCACTGGGAGGGAGCACAGCCCTGAAAGATAGGGACTGCCGCAACACCGCTCGACTGAGCGATTGTGTGCTGGCGAGTCTCAATCTCAGACAGAGCAGTGAAAAATGAAGTCAGGGTGAGGTCGCCTGGGTGCTAGCTGAGGAAGTGGTCCCAGGCAGTGGCTAAGCGGTCAGGCAGGCACATGGCAAAAAGGTACAGGGTAGCACAGGACGGTGGGGGGAAATCAGTGATCTAGGCGGCAGTGCTGGCAACGCGGTAGCTAGTCTCTAATGCACGGAGGTGAGTGGCGAGATCAGCGACAGTGGGGAAAGCAGAGAGATCGGGGAAAGAGCATGGGGAGGATCAAGCGTCCAGCGGAGGTAGGCATGGAGTTGCGTGCAACTACTGCATCTAGGAAGTCTTTGGCGTTTGCTACATCAGTAAAGCGGGGATGCTAAGATAGGGGAAGCGCATGACTAATGACAAGCTGCGCTACAGCATCGCGAGAATCCTAGATAGCGCGAGCGAGCGCAGCAGCAGCAAAGGCCCCACTCTCGGCAGTGGTGGGGTCAGCAGGGAGGGGATCAGGCGCGGGGGGACGGGGAAGTAAGCCATCAACATGCATAGCCAGGGAGTGCCCATCTTGGCGCTGACCTGTCAGGTGCCAGCGAAGATCGACAAGCTAGGTGGCAAAGTCGATTGCGTGCCCCTCCGCGTCCAGGCGTAGCATGGCGTCCGCCATCGCGCAACCTCAATGGCACCGGGACACAGCGGCACTGCGGCACAGGAACACGGGTACTCGGCTGCACGGAGGTACAGCGGCGTGGCGGCAGGACTCTCCGGAACGGAGACCGAGCGGAAGGCCGAGGAGGGCCCAAGGCGCGCAGAGCCGGCAGGGCGCAGAGAGCCGGCGAAGTGCTAGAGGGGCCTAGGGGCGCAAGAGGGCCGGTGGGCGCATAAGGAGCCAGCGGACGCGCAAGGGACCAAAGCGCACGAGGGGCCAGCGAGGCGCGCGAGGGTGAACTCACAGTAGGGCGGTTGTGCAGGGAGGCGAACTCACAGTGGGGAACTTGTGCAGGGGGGCAAACTCACAGCGGGGCACTTGTGCAGGGGGGCGAACTCACAGCTGGGGAGTTGTGCAGGGGGGCGAATTCGCAGCGGGGCACTTGTGCAGGGGGGCGAACTCACAGCTGGGGAGTTGTGCTGGAGGGCCATTTTGTACATCTTGTGAATATTGTATATAGATTCTTGGACTGTCGAGGAGCTGTGGCACATGTCTGCAGGGTAAGCGGGGGTCGGGGTGAGCTGCAGGGGGGAGGAATCCGACACGGGTGTGGAGCAGGTGACAGGTGGGGGTGTGGAGGTGGAGGAGTGGGGGGGGAGGGGGGAGGACAGAGACAATGGGGGGAAGGGACCAGTCGGGGCAAGCGGCTGTTCTGCAGAGGGATGGACGGATGGGATGGGTAGCCGCTTGAGGGAGTTGAGGAGGGGCAACCGGGTGACCAAGCTAGGAGGGAGGATACAATGGCTATGAGGAAGGGGAGGGCAAGGGGGGGAGCTGAGGGTGGGGAGTGCAGGAGAGTGGAAGGGTCAATGGGGACGCAGAGGAGACCCCTGACACCCACCACCCAGGGGCTGTATATAGGGAAAGATGCATATTGGCTTGCTCGTGCCAGTTGTTGCATATGATGTAGCTCTTTAGGGCCTTAGTTATAAACTGCCCCCTCGCGCACCTGTGGCATGTTACGATATTAGACATCATATTTTGCCTGTATCACTTCATTTGATGCCAAGCCAACCGAAGGCACTAGCATGATAAACATAATAAACCAGTAGAAACTCTATTAAAAAAAGGCAAAAACCAACAATACCAGACTACAGTTTGTCTAGCACGTAGCATGAATCTGGTGTGTCATGGGCCAGATTAATGTAAATCGTATAGGGAATACGCCTTGGTTGATTGTATCCAATGATTGAAAGGAGACATCGACCTATCTCTAAAAGCAGTAATCCCTTACAGTTTTGTGTTCGCCGCTTCAGGCCTGTGCTCCAAAAACAAATTCACCTTATCCGCGTATGGAATGTCCTCGCACCGTAGTCTCAGGGGGAACTCCAGCGCAAACACCGTGCGGAGTGTTTCTGGAAAGCACCTGCGCATAGAACATCTGCGCCTGGCAACTACAGTATCCCGCCACGTCGCGCATCCCTCCCTCCCTCCCTAGACCCCGTGCACCCTTCAAGTCCCGCTCCCACCCATGCCCGACACATACCAACTCCATTTGCCCTCAATACAGCAGCACCCTCGATAACAGCAGCTCTTAGCTAAGGCTCTTAGCTCTTAGCGTGCCCATAGCTCTTAGCGTGTCTGCTCTTAGCTCTTAGCGTGCCTTAGTATCTGCTCGTAGAGTGCCTTAGTATCAGCTCTTAGCGTGCCGTAGTATTCCTTCACCTAGTCGTCGTGTCTCTAAGATCGTATATCGAAGCTTGTAGCTGCAGATCTATCTCCAACCGTAGAGCGTATCTCTTAGTCAAATCTGGCTTACGGATTTTGCTCCGAGCTGAAAATCGTATCTTCGTCAGATCTGACTTACGAATCGTCCTCCAAGCCGTCGAGCGTATCGTTGTCAGATTGGACTGTTACACAATCTGCAGGTACGTAAGTCCGCGTCCGCTTTCCGCTCCACTCACCGCTGCCCGCTGCCCGCTTCCCGCTGCCCGCTTCCCGCTGCCCGCTGCCGGCTGCCCGCTGCCCGCTGCCCGCTGCCCGCTTCCCGCTCCCCGCTTCCCGCTTCCCGCTGCCCGCTTTCCGCTGCCCGCTGCCCGCTGCCCGCTTTCCGCTTCCCGCTGCCCGCTGCCCGCTGCCCGCTGCCCGCTGCCCGCTTCCCGCTTCCCGCTTCCCGCTTCCCGCTGCCAGCTGCCCGCTGCCCGCTTTCCGCTGCCCGCTGCCCACTGCTCGCTTCCCGCTGCCCGCTTCCCGCTGCCCGCTGCCCGCTGCCTGCTCCCTACTGCCTGCTGCCCGCTGCCCGCTGCCCGGTTCAAGCTGTTTTGATCCTATTTTGCAGCTGCTGCGTGCGTGCATCGCGGCGCTGTGTGTTGCTGTGCTTCGCTCTCGCACCCTTTCCATGGCCCGTCCCCCCCCAGTTCTCCTTCCCCCCCCCCCCCCCCTCTCACCTTCCACCCTCTCCTCTTTTCTGCTCCCTTGGCTCTGTGCTCTCCAGTCGTTGCTCCGGGGTTTTCATCGTAGGGTGTTTTTGAGAATGATCAAAAACACCCTGCAGACGCTCTCCAGTCGTTGCTGGGGGGTTTTCATCGTACCCTCACGCATTTCCATTCCCTTGCCCCCAGTTTATACTGAAAATCCCCCCTTTCCCTCTCAAGCACGTCTTTTGATCGCCATCCGACCAAACCCCCCCCCCCCCCCCCCCCCTCCCTAGCAGCCATGGTGCTTCGTTCCAACCTCCATTGCAAGCCTTGTTCTAAGGTGCAGGGAGGCCGTCAGCTGTTGTCACCAGGGCTTGGGAGCAAGGGGTAGGTTGCCCTCACATGGTTACCCACTCAATACTCCATATTCACTCACTCCCATTCCCTCACTCCCATTCCCTCACTCCCATTCCCTTTCTCCTTATTCTTTCCGCCGAGTGCTCGCATGTTTCTGGTACTGTGTCTCACTGCTTTACCCGGTGTCTTGTTTTTCTGGTCCAGTGCTTTACCCGAACATGTCTTCTTCTGGTTATCCATTTCAATTCCTCCCCCCACCCTCACCCTCCCCCTTCACCCCCCCTCTTTCCTCGTCCTCTGCTTTTCGTTCTGCAGATAAAAACACACGAGCTCACATCGTTCATCATTAAGTCGTCTCTCCTATCGCTGCCGGCCTCTTTGCCCGTGTCAACACCTTACTTCTAAGTTCTCGCGGTCAAATCATTCCTCGAACCATCCGTCTCTGTGCGCACTCGTAAGTCGTCTCTCGTATCGTTGCTCATACCTCCCTCCGAGATTCTCGTTCCGTCTCTTCCCGTCCACCTGCATTTCTCCTCTCCCCCCTGCAGTCACTTAGTTGCAGTTGCCTGCCTCCTAACCTGCTACAACCCCTTATTTTTAAGGTTTTGCAGTCATTTAATTCCTCGAGCCATTTGTCTCTGTGCGCACCCACATTACTCTCACTCCCTTCCTTTCATGTGCACGCCGTCGTCGTTGCAGCCGTCCTGCTCGTCAGCCGCCATGCGCCGCCCCTGGTCTCTGCACCACGCCGTGGAAACCACCGTCGATGACCCTGTGCTGGACGCCGCAGGCGTGGGGAGGGGGGTTCTAGGCCATTCTAGCTCCAGCAGCGGTGGCAACAGTAGCAGCAGCAGCAGCAGCAGCAGCAGCAGCAGCAGCAGCGGGAGGAGGGTGAGGTGCAGGATTAGCGGCGATGCAGCTGTTTTCAGGGCGATCAAGGGAATCTTCGGGAGGCGCATGAGTGCAGGAGCGAGGGCTTTTCTGCGGCAGTCGGAGCTGGGTGGTGTGTGCGAGTGATTTCAGAGCTGGAGGCAAGTTACCTTGGTGGTGGAGCAACGAATTCAAACGCGGTGGGTTGACGGCTGGCAGCCAGCCCTACTCTTTGGAATCATTTGGATGTGTGCACTCACTTGCTCGCCCTTGGCTGCCTCAAGAGGTGGTGATGGCTGCGCCAGTTGCTGGTGCACGGTATACTGGAGTGATCGCAGTGCTGGAGGCAACTCAGCTGCTGGCAGAGCGGCAAACTTAAATTCAGGTGAGTTTGACAGCTTGCCCTCAATCCCTACGATGTGTTTTGTTTCTGATGATTCTAAAAAACAACACACGACCTAGAGTTGACAGGTTGCCCTCAATCCCTGCGCCCAACCCTTACACAGTGGAAGTGCTGGGGTGGGCGCTGGTGGAGGGGGATATGGAGAGGGGAGGAGAGGAAAGAGCGACAGGAGGATGGAGGAGGAAAAGTTGTGTGACAAACTAGCAGTTTTTTATTATGCTTATCTGCGCTATCGGTTGTGCTCAGGAATGATACGAGGAGATTGCGGCATCAAGTGCATCTGATTAAAGAAAACACTTTATCTGAAGATCACCTCGTCATAAAGAAAGTGCAAGGGTTCAGCTGCCGAATTTGAGCAATACGATGATGCTTCTTGTGATCTTGAGGAGCCGTGATTAGTAAGAGTTAGGTTTGAGCGCCTTTTTGTACTGTATATAGCTTCCAATATATTCACACGGAACAGCTCTAGTCGCGTAGGTTTGCGAAGATTACAGTTTTGGCTTTTCTATTGGCTGGGCCTCGCCACAGCGAGCCAACGCAGCTCACGTGAGTCAAACCTGTCGCTTGTGGCTGATCATGGACTGTACAGGATAGGCCAGTCCGGCTGGCACCAGTGGTGGTGTACACTTATTCGAACCAATCGCCAGTGATGGTGGTGTACCCTTGTTGCCCGATTCAGTCACTCAATTTTTCTAGGCGGCAGAGACTTAAAACGCGACTTTCATTTCACAGACCTCGCGACGGGCAGGTGGGACTGTAAGTGTTGCTCTTGGGTTACCCTCTTTGTCATACGCGGGATGGTAGGATGGCAGAAGGGGGGGCTGCATTTGCTCGATTATCAACAGCCGGTACACCCTTGATTTTTTGCGATGTCTTGCACGTAATTACGAATTTCCCGATAGTGGTCAGAATCATAAAGCAGGGTAACACAGCCCACAAACCAGCCCGTGGGTTCGTTGCGACTCCGCCGACGTTCATGCCCAACTTCGTACAAGCTCCTGGCGAAGTGGTTTGAGGCGAGGTTGGATGGGCAAATGGGGTTTGTCGCGGTAGGCAAGCTCCATAACTGCCGTTGTCTTGAGTGGAAACAGTGCACACCATGTGCTTCAAAACGGGGTGCGGTTGCCCGTGCTAGAAACAGAAGTGATGCGGGAAGCTTTTGTGTGTGAACCGAGACGTGACTGCCTCGGGCAACAGGGGTACTCATTAACGAGGGTCGGTGTTGTTTTGTGGAATCGTGAGTCAACGTGCGGTCAGCTCCTTCCGCCCTCTGCCCGTCCCCTAGTCCACCTCCTCCTCCCCCCTCCCGCCCGCCCGCCCCTTACGTTTTGGTTACAGTTGCGAAACCGCCGTTTTGTTCGTCTCTTCCCCCGACGTTCGCTGTCTTTTTGCACCTCAGCTGGAACCATCCAGCTACAGTAACTCCTTCGTCGCGTCGTGCGCTTGGCGACGCTCGCTGGCTGGGTTGCGACGTGCTGTGCGATCACATGAATTTAGTGAGTCATTTGTAAGTTTTTGCGAGTACTTTCTGGTCAAGCTGAACTTGGCCAGCAATTTGCGCTAGGTTCCGTTCAGCTCACCACGCAGACAGAGGCTGGTGCACCCCCCCACTCAACCCCAAACCCAAGTCCTAAGGACCATACTCCACGGCAGAACTCTGGCCCTGTTACAGCACAGCACACCTCCCATCCCATACCCCTCATTCAACTGTACAGCACAGCACAGCTCCCCTGCTGCTACTACAGCCTCCCCAAGAATGCCACTTTTCTGCTCAACAATGCTTTGGCTAATCCCCTTCCACCGCATTGCAGCTTTTCCGCCGTCAGAAAGGCTCTTTCAACGATCCATTGAGTCTACGGACAAAAGAGCCCTCAGGTCTAACCCTAAACAAAATCTCCTTCAGGTTCAGTCGCCTCACGCGAAATCCGGGAAAGTAATCGTTTTGAGAGTTCTCAAAGGCATCACTTAGGCCTGTTTTGAATTTGGAATAATACGGCAGTTAAAGGCTGAGCCTAAAACGAGGATCTGCCCGCCGGACGGATGACAAGCTCCGCGGGGCCCATGAAGCCGGCCTCCGGCAGCAGCAGCAGCCTCGCCATTCCGCGGACGCCCGTGTGTGTGCCGGCGGCCGGCAGCAGCATCGTCATTCCGTGGCAGACGGTGTGTCTGTCGGCGGCCCAGGCCCGGGGGTCACGATGATGCTGATCGCCCTGCTCTGCGCAGCGCCGATCGCACCGTGCTTTGCGGTACTCGGTGGTAAGAAAGAGGCGGAGAATAGGAGACTGATAGAAGGTAGGGGAGAGGGGGGCTGGGAAATGGTGGATGGAAGGCAAGGAGGAGGAGTGAGTTAGAGAGAGGTGGAATGGGAGGGAGAGGGAGGATGGGGAAGTGGTGTGATGATGGGAAGTTGGGGAAGGAGGTTGGTGGCTTGGGGACCCCTCTCTTTCACTTTCTCTCCTTACCCCACACCTTCACACAACCCGAATTCAACCTTTTGCGAGCCCCGCTGCACCTTCTTCCCTTCTCAACTCCCTCCTTCCTCTCCCCCCTCCCCCCCCCCCCCCCCCCCCTCCCCTCCCCCTTACCCTCTCTCCTTCCCCCCCACTCCCCCTCTTCCCCCTCTTCCCAACTTTTTCTCCGGCTGTACGTCCCATACTAGATCAAGGAGGGCTGTCCGCTCCCCTTCCCCTGTCCCCGCCTTAGTCAAGTAGACTTGCCTCCCTACTGCATCCCCTCAAGTGGACTGCATCCCCTCAAGTGGACTGCATCCCCTCTAGTGGATGGCCAGACGTCATGCTGTCTCGTGCACTCTTCCCCAATCTTCCCCACCCCTCCCCCCCCCTCTCCCCCCCCCCTCGACTCAGGCGCCACCCTTCCTGTCAGGCGGTCCCCCATTGGGTCAGGTGCACGGGCGTGGGATGGCCAGACGTCGGGTTGTTGTTGGCCCATGCACTTTATCTCCCTCTTCCCCTTCCACCCCCCGCCCCCCTCATTCAGGCTGTCCGGTGCTGGACCAGGTGCACGTGCATGTGGATGGGCAGACGTCAGGTTACCTCAGCATCCGTTTTCTCCTCACCCTCTCCTCCCCTTCCCCTGTCAGGCTGTCCCGCTTTGGACCAGGTGCATGTGCATGTGGATGGGCAGACGTCAGGTTGCTGCGGCGGTGCTAACACCCCATGTGGTATGTGCATACCCCCGCACGCACCATCCATGTCACATGCTCCCCACTACCGCCGCCCACCATGCATGTGACATGCACCCACACTAGTGGTATCCCTCTCTCCTTCTTCCCACGCTCTCCTCTTCTTCCTTCCCCCCTTATTTTTCTTACCGCAATGCTTCGCTTTCCCTCTCGCCTTCCCTACTGAACCATCACGCGCCTACACACGCTCTTCCTCCTCTCCTCTCCCCCTTCCCTGCTTCTCGTTCCTGTGCCCACCATGCCGGGTCTGCTTTTGAGTCGACTCAACAGCTTCTCGTTCTTGTGCTCACCATGCCGGGTCACTGCGCCTGTCTCATTCTCCTGTTTCTTCGTTTGCGCTGTCAGACTGTCTTCCTTCTGAAGGAGCCCTTCTCATTCACATATTGCTTTCTTTCCAACGACCCACCCCTCTGTGACAGACGCCATTGCTTCCCTCTCATGTGGTCCTCCTGGTGTGTCTGTGTGCTGCTGTGCTGTGTCACCATGTATGGGATGATCAAACATGTCATGTGTCACCCCATCTCATGCCATGCCATGCCATGCCATGCCATGCCATGCCATGCCATGTGATGCCATGTGCTGCCATCTCGTGCTGCCTGTCTCTCCATGCACCACCACCAGGATCATTGGAGCTAGGCCTCTCAATGTGAGTATATCATCACTACTGTATCTCGAATCGTGCTCACCCTATCAGCTCAATCCCTTAGCTGCACTCCTTTCCTCTCCTCACCATTTCCCATCTCTCCTCACATTGCCCATCTCTCCTCACATTGCCCATCTCTCCTCACATTGCCCATCTCTCCTAACATTGCCCATCTCTCCTCACATTGCCCATCCCTCCTCACCATTGCCCATCTCTCCGCACCATTGCCCATCGCTCCTCACCGTCGCCCATCTCTCCCCACCTTGCTTCCCGCCATAACCCTAAACTCAACGCCTCTACCCACCTTCTCGTCGCCCTGTCTCCAACCAATAAAGATAGAGTTGACAGGGGGGTAGTGCGATCCGCGCCGCCACACGCTCTTCTTCGTCCCCACTCTTCCTTTCTCTTTCCCCCATCCCCCATCCCCCATCCCCCATCTCCCCCCAGGCTGCCCCCATCAGGCGGCTCCCTCCTGCTCTCACCGGGCACCCATCGCCCTCCCTCTGCTGGCCTGTCTCTGGGCGGCCGATCCATCTCAATCCTCGCTGCTCCTCCTCCTTCTACCACCCCCTCCTCCCCCCCTGCACTTCTTTCTGCTCTCCCTGCTTCTTCTCCTCCTCCCGCCGTTCCGACCATTGACTGCACGGGGGGAGCGTGTCTCTCAGCCGTCTGCTTTCCAGCCACCGCTGCGCTGCCATGTGGCACCGCAGAACTGGTCCTTGCAGGAGTAGCCGTTCAGAACGGCCAGGTAGGAGCGCCACGTGGCGGCTGCCTATTGATCGAGAACCAGGCCGTCCACGTCAGCAACAGCACCTTCACTGGCTGCTCTGCTGTCAACTACGGCGGGGCGATTTCCGTCTCCAACGCGCCACGTGTCTCGCTCTCACGCGTCCATGTCAGCACCTCATCTGTTTTCTCTCGAATAGGAGGCGGTGGGGGTGTGGCTTTACGAAACGTGACTGCAGCGAGTGTGACTGATTGCTGGTTCGAAGGGTGTGTGGCGAAGGCCAGTACTGGGGGAGGTGTCTTCTGTGAGGGGGGTGGGTTGGAGGTGCGGGGAGGGGGCTTCGACCGCTGCTCTGCTGACAAATCGGGGGGCGGTTTGTCGACTGCCAGGTGCACCGGGCGCATCGACGGGGTTCAGTTCTCCAACAGTCAGGTTGGTCAGTGTGGGTGTGGATGGGAGGGTTGTTTGGGGACGCTGGTGGGCTTCGCCTGCTGCGCTGCTGACAAATCGGGGGGTGGTTTGTCCACCATTGTGAGCACCAGGCGCATCGACGGGGTTCGGTTCTCCAACAGTCAGGTTGGTGCGGGTGCAGGTGCGGGTGCGGATGGGAGGGAGGGGGGGTGGGGTGTATGTATGGCAAAGGGTGTTGAGCGGATGGGAGGGTTGTCACACGCCGCACTCCCTTCCCTCCTCCTCACTTCCTCCTGCCCACCCTCACTTCCTCCTGCCCACCCTCACTCCCTCCTGCCCAGTCTCACTTCCTCCTGCCCACTCTCACTTCCTCCTGCCCACTCTCACTTCCTCCTGCCCACTCTCACTTCCTCCTGCCCACTCTCACTTCCTCCTGCCCACTCTCGCTTCCTCCTGTCCACTCTCACTTCCTCCTGTCCACTCTCACTTCCTCCTGCCCACTCTCACTTCCTCCTGCCCACTCTCGCTTCCTCCTGTCCACTCTCACTTCCTCCTGTCCACTCTCACTTCCTCCTGCCCACTCTCACTTCTTCCCACACTCCGTCCCTGCTCCCTGCCGTCCCTCCCTGCCGTCCGTCCCTCCCTGCCGTCCGTCCCTCCCTGCCGTCCGTCCCTCCCTGCCGTCCGTCCCTCCCTGCCGTCCGTCCCTCCCTGCCGTTCGTCCCTCCCTGCCGTCCGTCCCTCCCTGCCGTCCGTCTCTCCGTCCGTCCCTCGCTCCCTCCCTCCCTCCCTCAGGCCACAACGGGTGGGTGCATGGTAGACAACGCCTCTCCCTCCCTCACCGTCTCCTCCTCCTCCTTCCTCTCCTGCGTCGCCAACAACCCTCTTATAGACCCATTCTTAAACTCCCAGCGGGCGGCTGCCATTCACGCCAACCGCACCGCCACCCTCACCATCTCCCTCTCCCACTTCACCAACGGGTTGGGGACCGTGGGCGGGGGAGGGATCCTGGCGGTCAGGGTCGGCAACCTCACGGTTACCGCCAGCTCGTTTCGCGGTAACCGCGCGACGAACCCATCGGTCGGGGGAGGGGCAGCGATCGATGCACTACGTTCCAACATCACCATCCGGGGCTCCTGGTTCTTCAACAACTCGGCAGATTCCCCCATAGTGACCTTCGGCGGGGCAGTGACTCTGACAGACTGCCCTGGGGTGATTGCCAACTGCTCGTTTGTGGGGAACGAGGCTACATCAAGTGTTGAGTCTGGTGCGAGCGAGGGAGGGGCGTTGGTGCATTCATGGGGGCTTCGGGTTGGGGGTGAACCGGTGTCCCTGGTGCTGGAGGACTGTGTGTTTGAGGGCAACCGCGCCATGGCTGGCGGGGCTGCCGCCTTCGATTCTGTTGTTGTAATCAGGAGGTCGAGATTCCTCGGCAACACGGCCTCTTTCCGGATGGCCGGTGCAGGTATGTGGCATTGGGTGGCATGTCAGGTACCCTTTGAGTCGACTCAAAAGTCACCTCGCAGGTATGTGGCCTTGGGTGGCAGGTCATGTAACTTTTGAGTCGACTGAGGTACCATCCACCAATGTTCTTCTTCCGTAGTGCGACAGTGGAGGACAGGGAGTCTCACGGCAACTCAGTGCAGCAAATGGGATGGGAGAGAGGGCAGCATGACAGCTAAGGAGCACCACTTGAGTAAAAAGGGAAATTGGGGGATTGTCTCGTGTTTCTCTCGCTGTTAAGAGGTGTTTTGCTTTTGAGAATCCTTAAAAAGAGAAGAGTTCCCCAATTTTCCAAACTTTCAGTTACATAAGCTCGAGCTCTACAACTGTTTTTTCCTACTTGTGTTTATTAAACCTGCTTCCGACACCGCGCTCAGTGGGGGGAGATATGTCCGAACATCTGCTGGCATTGAGTTTCACGGCAACTGAGTGCTGCAAATGGAGAGAGGGGGGGCAGGTTGACAGCCACGGAGCATCACTATCTGGTGGTGGAGACGTTGCTTTGCTGCAGAATCGAGTTTGTTAGCTAAGTGTCGGTTACATGAAAACTCGAACTTGACTTGCCAGTAATGCCCTTCTCAGGCTATCTCCCTGTGCTGTGCAGCGCACGGAGATAGCCATGCAGAACGGAAGAACAAAGGCCGAGTATGGATCTCATCGAACCTCTCTCCTGCCTGCCCCCCACCCATCCCCTTCCCCCAGTGCTCTTGACTTTTGAGTCGACTCTCTCCTGTTTGCTCTTTCTAGGGAGCCATGGCGGTACAGTGGAGGACACTGAGTTTGACGGCAACTCAGTGCAGCACATTGGGGGGGTGGTAGTCATGGGGTGGTTGGGCGTGCAACGGTCTCATCAAACCTCTCTCCTGCCTGCCTGCCGCCCATCCATCCCCTTGCCCCAGTGCTCTTGACTTTTGAGTCAGCTCTTTCCTGCCTGCCTGCCCCCCATCCCCTCCCCCAGTGCTCTTTGTGAGTGGCCGGGGCGGTACGCTGGAGGACTGTGAGTTTGACGGCAACTCAGTGCAGCTCAACGGGGGGGCGCTAGCAGTGGATGGGGGCGATAGGAGCATCACCATCACTCGCACTGTCTTTGTCAACAACGTTGCGAACTCAGGGGACGGGGGCGCGGTGTTTGTGAACCAGGTGCGGTGGGGTGCGGTGGGGTGCGGTGGGGGGGGGAACTTTTGAGTTGACTCAAACGTCATTGGGGGGGCGGTAGCTTGTAGCCTTGGATGGGGGCGAGAGGAGCACCACCATCACTCGCACTGTTTTTGTCAACAACGTTGCGCACTCAAGGGACGGGGGCGCGGTGTTTGTGAATGAGGTGCGATGCAATGCGGGTTGGTTGGCATGTAGGAGAGCGCAGGGGGGCGGCATGTAGGAGGGCGGGGGCGTGGTGTCTGCGCACGAGGTGCGATGCAAAGGGAAATGAATAGCAATGGGGGGGTGAAGGAAGGAGGTTCATGCTGTTCTCTGCTGTTTAACGGTGGAAGTTGAATGGGCGGGGTGGGCGGGGCGGGGGTGCTATGCTTGTGCACGAGGTGCGATGCAAAGGGAAGTGAATAGCAATGGGGGGGTGAAGGAAGGAGGTTCATGCTGTTCTCTGCTGTTTAACGGGGGAAGTTGAATGGGCGGGGGTGCTGTGCTTGAGCACGAGGTGCGATGCAAAGGGAAGTGAATAGCAATGGGGGGGTGAAGGAAGGAGGTTCATGCTGTTCTCTGCTGTTTAACGGGGGAAGTTGAATGGGCGGGGGTGCTGTGCTTGTGCACGAGGTGCGATGCAAAGGGAAGTGAATAGCAATGGGGGGGTGAAGGAAGGAGGTTCATGCTGTTCTCTTCTGTTTAACGGGGGAAGTTGAATGGGCGGGGGTGCTGTGCTTGTGCACGAGGTGCGATGCAAAGGGAAGTGAATAGCAATGGGGGGGTGAAGGAAGGAGGTTCATGCTGTTCTCTGCTGTTTAACGGGGGAAGTTGAATGGGCGGGGGTGCTGTGCTTGTGCACGAGGTGCGATGCAAAGGGAAGTGAATAGCAATGGGGGGGTGAAGGAAGGAGGTTCATGCTGTACTCTTCTGTTTAACGGGGGAAGTTGAATGGGCGGGGGTGCTGTGCTTGTGCACGAGGTGCGATGCAAAGGGAAGTGAATAGCAATGGGGGGTGAAGGAAGGAGGTTCATGCTGTTCTCTGCTGTTTAACGGGGGAAGTTGAATGGGCGGGGGTGCTGTGCTTGTGCACGAGGTGCGATGCAAAGGGAAGTGAATAGCAATGGGGGGGTGAAGGAAGGAGGTTCATGCTGTTCTCTGCTGTTTAACGGGGGAAGTTGAATGGGCGGGGGTGCTGTGCTTGTGCACGAGGTGCGATGGAAAGGGAAGTGAATAGCAATGGGGGGGTGAAGGAAGGAGGTTCATGCTGTTCTCTGCTGTTTAACGGGGGAAGTTGAATGGGCGGGGGTGCTGTGCTTGTGCACGAGGTGCGATGCAAAGGGAAGTGAATAGCAATGGGGGGGTGAAGGAAGGAGGTTCATGCTGTTCTCTGCTGTTTAACGGGGGAAGTTGAATGGGCGGGGGTGCTGTGCTTGTGCACGAGGTGCGATGCAAAGGGAAGTGAATAGCAATGGGGGGGTGAAGGAAGGAGGTTCATGCTGTACTCTTCTGTTTAACGGGGGAAGTTGAATGGGCGGGGGTGCTGTGCTTGTGCACGAGGTGCGATGCAAAGGGAAGTGAATAGCAATGGGGGGGTGAAGGAAGGAGGTTCATGCTGTTCTCTGCTGTTTAACGGTGGAAGTTGAATGGGCGGGGGTGCTGTGCTTGTGCACGAGGTGCGATGCAAAGGGAAGTGAATAGCAATGGGGGGGTGAAGGAAGGAGGTTCATGCTGTTCTCTGCTGTTTAACGGGGAAGTTGAATGGGCGGGGGTGCTGTGCTTGTGCACGAGGTGCGATGCAAAGGGAAGTGAATAGCAATGGGGGGGTGAAGGAAGGAGGTTCATGCTGTTCTCTTGCTGTTTAACGGGGGAAGTTGAATGGGCGGGGGTGCTGTGCTTGTGCACGAGGTGCGATGGAAAGGGAAGTGAATAGCAATGGGGGGGTGAAGGAAGGAGGTTCATGCTGTTCTCTGCTGTTTAACGGGGGAAGTTGAATGGGCGGGGGTGCTGTGCTTGTGCACGAGGTGCGATGCAAAGGGAAGTGAATAGCAATGGGGGGGGTGAAGGAAGGAGGTTCATGCTGTTCTCTGCTGTTTAACGGGGGAAGTTGAATGGGCGGGGGTGCTGTGCTTGTGCACGAGGTGCGATGCAAAGGGAAGTGAATAGCAATGGGGGGGTGAAGGAAGGAGGTTCATGCTGTTCTCTGCTGTTTAACGGGGGAAGTTGAATGGGCGGGGGTGCTGTGCTTGTGCACGAGGTGCGATGCAAAGGGAAGTGAATAGCAATGGGGGGGTGAAGGAAGGAGGTTCATGCTGTTCTCTGCTGTTTAACGGGGGAAGTTGAATGGGCGGGGGGTGCTGTGCTTGTGCACGAGGTGCGATGCAAAGGGAAGTGAATAGCAATGGGGGGGTGAAGGAAGGAGGTTCATGCTGTTCTCTGCTGTTTAACGGGGGAAGTTGAATGGGCGGGGGTGCTGTGCTTGTGCACGAGGTGCGATGCAAAGGGAAGTGAATAGCAATGGGGGGGTGAAGGAAGGAGGTTCATGCTGTTCTCTGCTGTTTAACGGGGGAAGTTGAATGGGCGGGGGTGCTGTGCTTGTGCACGAGGTGCGATGCAAAGGGAAGTGAATAGCAATGGGGGGGTGAAGGAAGGAGGTTCATGCTGTTCTCTGCTGTTTAACGGGGGAAGTTGAATGGGCGGGGGTGCTGTGCTTGTGCACGAGGTGCGATGCAAAGGGAAGTGAATAGCAATGGGGGGGTGAAGGAAGGAGGTTCATGCTGTTCTCTGCTGTTTAACGGGGGAAGTTGAATGGGCGGGGGTGCTGTGCTTGTGCACGAGGTGCGATGCAAAGGGAAGTGAATAGCAATGGGGGGGTGAAGGAAGGAGGTTCATGCTGTTCTCTGCTGTTTAACGGGGGAGTTGAATGGGCGGGGGTGCTGTGCTTGTGCACGAGGTGCGATGCAAAGGGAAGTGAATAGCAATGGGGGGGTGAAGGAAGGAGGTTCATGCTGTTCTCTGCTGTTTAACGGGGGAAGTTGAATGGGCGGGGGTGCTGTGCTTGTGCACGAGGTGCGATGCAAAGGGAAGTGAATAGCAATGGGGGGTGAAGGAAGGAGGTTCATGCTGTTCTCTGCTGTTTAACGGGGGAAGTTGAATGGGCGGGGGTGCTGTGCTTGTGCACGAGGTGCGATGCAAAGGGAAGTGAATAGCAATGGGGGGGTGAAGGAAGGAGGTTCATGCTGTTCTCTGCTGTTTAACGGGGGAAGTTGAATGGGCGGGGGTGCTGTGCTTGTGCACGAGGTGCGATGCAAAGGGAAGTGAATAGCAATGGGGGGGTGAAGGAAGGAGGTTCATGCTGTTCTCTGCTGTTTAACGGGGGAAGTTGAATGGGCGGGGGTGCTGTGCTTGTGCACGAGGTGCGATGCAAAGGGAAGTGAATAGCAATGGGGGGGTGAAGGAAGGAGGTTCATGCTGTTCTCTGCTGTTTAACGGGGGAAGTTGAATGGGCGGGGGTGCTGTGCTTGTGCACGAGGTGCGATGCAAAGGGAAGTGAATAGCAATGGGGGGGTGAAGGAAGGAGGTTCATGCTGTTCTCTGCTGTTTAACGGGGGAAGTTGAATGGGCGGGGGTGCTGTGCTTGTGCACGAGGTGCGATGCAAAGGGAAGTGAATAGCAATGGGGGGGTGAAGGAAGGAGGTTCATGCTGTTCTCTGCTGTTTAACGGGGGAAGTTGAATGGGCGGGGGTGCTGTGCTTGTGCACGAGGTGCGATGCAAAGGGAAGTGAATAGCAATGGGGGGGTGAAGGAAGGAGGTTCATGCTGTTCTCTGCTGTTTAACGGGGGAAGTTGAATGGGCGGGGGTGCTGTGCTTGTGCACGAGGTGCGATGCAAAGGGAAGTGAATAGCAATGGGGGGGTGAAGGAAGGAGGTTCATGCTGTTCTCTGCTGTTTAACGGGGGAAGTTGAATGGGCGGGGGTGCTGTGCTTGTGCACGAGGTGCGATGCAAAGGGAAGTGAATAGCAATGGGGGGGTGAAGGAAGGAGGTTCATGCTGTTCTCTGCTGTTTAACGGGGGAAGTTGAATGGGCGGGGGTGCTGTGCTTGTGCACGAGGTGCGATGCAAAGGGAAGTGAATAGCAATGGGGGGGTGAAGGAAGGAGGTTCATGCTGTTCTCTGCTGTTTAACGGGGGAAGTTGAATGGGCGGGGGTGCTGTGCTTGTGCACGAGGTGCGATGCAAAGGGAAGTGAATAGCAATGGGGGGGTGAAGGAAGGAGGTTCATGCTGTTCTCTGCTGTTTAACGGGGGAAGTTGAATGGGCGGGGGTGCTGTGCTTGTGCACGAGGTGCGATGCAAAGGGAAGTGAATAGCAATGGGGGGTGAAGGAAGGAGGTTCATGCTGTTCTCTGCTGTTTAACGGGGAAGTTGAATGGGCGGGGGTGCTGTGCTTGTGCACGAGGTGCGATGCAAAGGGAAGTGAATAGCAATGGGGGGGTGAAGGAAGGAGGTTCATGCTGTTCTCTGCTGTTTAACGGGGGAAGTTGAATGGGCGGGGGTGCTGTGCTTGTGCACGAGGTGCGATGCAAAGGGAAGTGAATAGCAATGGGGGGGTGAAGGAAGGAGGTTCATGCTGTTCTCTGCTGTTTAACGGGGGAAGTTGAATGGGCGGGGGTGCTGTGCTTGTGCACGAGGTGCGATGCAAAGGGAAGTGAATAGCAATGGGGGGGTGAAGGAAGGAGGTTCATGCTGTTCTCTGCTGTTTAACGGGGGAAGTTGAATGGGCGGGGGTGCTGTGCTTGTGCACGAGGTGCGATGCAAAGGGAAGTGAATAGCAATGGGGGGGTGAAGGAAGGAGGTTCATGCTGTTCTCTGCTGTTTAACGGGGGAAGTTGAATGGGCGGGGGTGCTGTGCTTGTGCACGAGGTGCGATGCAAAGGGAAGTGAATAGCAATGGGGGGGTGAAGGAAGGAGGTTCATGCTGTTCTCTGCTGTTTAACGGGGAAGTTGAATGGCGGGGGTGCTGTGCTTGTGCACGAGGTGCGATGCAAAGGGAAGTGAATAGCAATGGGGGGGTGAAGGAAGGAGGTTCATGCTGTTCTCTGCTGTTTAACGGGGGAAGTTGAATGGGCGGGGGTGCTGTGCTTGTGCACGAGGTGCGATGCAAAGGGAAGTGAATAGCAATGGGGGGGTGAAGGAAGGAGGTTCATGCTGTTCTCTGCTGTTTAACGGGGGAAGTTGAATGGGCGGGGGTGCTGTGCTTGTGCACGAGGTGCGATGCAAAGGGAAGTGAATAGCAATGGGGGGGTGAAGGAAGGAGGTTCATGCTGTTCTCTGCTGTTTAACGGGGGAAGTTGAATGGGCGGGGGTGCTGTGCTTGTGCACGAGGTGCGATGCAAAGGGAAGTGAATAGCAATGGGGGGGTGAAGGAAGGAGGTTCATGCTGTTCTCTGCTGTTTAACGGGGGAAGTTGAATGGGCGGGGGTGCTGTGCTTGTGCACGAGGTGCGATGCAAAGGGAAGTGAATAGCAATGGGGGGTGAAGGAAGGAGGTTCATGCTGTTCTCTTGCTGTTTAACGGGGGAAGTTGAATGGGCGGGGGTGCTGTGCTTGTGCACGAGGTGCGATGCAAAGGGAAGTGAATAGCAATGGGGGGGTGAAGGAAGGAGGTTCATGCTGTTCTCTGCTGTTTAACGGGGGAAGTTGAATGGGCGGGGGTGCTGTGCTTGTGCACGAGGTGCGATGCAAAGGGAAGTGAATAGCAATGGGGGGGTGAAGGAAGGAGGTTCATGCTGTTCTCTGCTGTTTAACGGGGGAAGTTGAATGGGCGGGGGTGCTGTGCTTGTGCACGAGGTGCGATGCAAAGGGAAGTGAATAGCAATGGGGGGGTGAAGGAAGGAGGTTCATGCTGTTCTCTGCTGTTTAACGGGGGAAGTTGAATGGGCGGGGGTGCTGTGCTTGTGCACGAGGTGCGATGCAAAGGGAAGTGAATAGCAATGGGGGGTGAAGGAAGGAGGTTCATGCTGTTCTCTGCTGTTTAACGGGGGAAGTTGAATGGGCGGGGGTGCTGTGCTTGTGCACGAGGTGCGATGCAAAGGGAAGTGAATAGCAATGGGGGGGTGAAGGAAGGAGGTTCATGCTGTTCTCTGCTGTTTAACGGGGGGAAGTTGAATGGGCGGGGGTGCTGTGCTTGTGCACGAGGTGCGATGCAAAGGGAAGTGAATAGCAATGGGGGGGTGAAGGAAGGAGGTTCATGCTGTTCTCTGCTGTTTAACGGGGGAAGTTGAATGGGCGGGGGTGCTGTGCTTGTGCACGAGGTGCGATGCAAAGGGAAGTGAATAGCAATGGGGGGGTGAAGGAAGGAGGTTCATGCTGTTCTCTGCTGTTTAACGGGGGAAGTTGAATGGGCGGGGGTGCTGTGCTTGTGCACGAGGTGCGATGCAAAGGGAAGTGAATAGCAATGGGGGGGTGAAGGAAGGAGGTTCATGCTGTTCTCTGCTGTTTAACGGGGAAGTTGAATGGGCGGGGGTGCTGTGCTTGTGCACGAGGTGCGATGCAAAGGGAAGTGAATAGCAATGGGGGGGTGAAGGAAGGAGGTTCATGCTGTTCTCTGCTGTTTAACGGGGGAAGTTGAATGGGCGGGGGGTGCTGTGCTTGTGCACGAGGTGCGATGCAAAGGGAAGTGAATAGCAATGGGGGGGTGAAGGAAGGAGGTTCATGCTGTTCTCTGCTGTTTAACGGGGGAAGTTGAATGGGCGGGGGTGCTGTGCTTGAGCACGAGGTGCGATGCAAAGGGAAGTGAATAGCAATGGGGGGTGAAGGAAGGAGGTTCATGCTGTCTCTGCTGTTTAACGGGGGAAGTTGAATGGGCGGGGTGCTGTGCTTGTGCACGAGGTGCGATGCAAAGGGAAGTGAATAGCAATGGGGGGGTGAAGGAAGGAGGTTCATGCTGTTCTCTGCTGTTTAACGGGGGAAGTTGAATGGGCGGGGTGCTGTGCTTGTGCACGAGGTGCGATGCAAAGGGAAGTGAATAGCAATGGGGGGGTGAAGGAAGGAGGTTCATGCTGTTCTCTGCTGTTTAACGGGGGAAGTTGAATGGGCGGGGGTGCTGTGCTTGTGCACGAGGTGCGATGCAAAGGGAAGTGAATAGCAATGGGGGGTGAAGGAAGGAGGTTCATGCTGTTCTCTTCTGTTTAACGGGGGAAGTTGAATGGGCGGGGGTGCTGTGCTTGTGCACGAGGTGCGATGCAAAGGGAAGTGAATAGCAATGGGGGGGTGAAGGAAGGAGGTTCATGCTGTTCTCTGCTGTTTAACGGGGGAAGTTGAATGGGCGGGGGTGCTGTGCTTGTGCACGAGGTGCGATGCAAAGGGAAGTGAATAGCAATGGGGGGTGAAGGAAGGAGGTTCATGCTGTTCTCTCTGTTTAACGGGGGAAGTTGAATGGGCGGGGGTGCTGTGCTTGTGCACGAGGTGCGATGCAAAGGGAAGTGAATAGCAATGGGGGGTGAAGGAAGGAGGTTCATGCTGTTCTCTGCTGTTTAACGGGGGAAGTTGAATGGGCGGGGGTGCTGTGCTTGAGCACGAGGTGCGATGCAAAGGGAAGTGAATAGCAATGGGGGGGTGAAGGAAGGAGGTTCATGCTGTTCTCTGCTGTTTAACGGGGGAAGTTGAATGGGCGGGGGTGCTGTGCTTGTGCACGAGGTGCGATGCAAAGGGAAGTGAATAGCAATGGGGGGGTGAAGGAAGGAGGTTCATGCTGTTCTCTCTGTTTAACGGGGGAAGTTGAATGGGCGGGGTGCTGTGCTTGTGCACGAGGTGCGATGCAAAGGGAAGTGAATAGCAATGGGGGGTGAAGGAAGGAGGTTCGTGCTGTTCTCTGCTGTTTAACGGGGGAAGTTGAATGGGCGGGGGTGCTGTGCTTGTGCACGAGGTGCGATGCAAAGGGAAGTGAATAGCAATGGGGGGTGAAGGAAGGAGGTTCATGCTGTTCTCTGCTGTTTAACGGGGGAAGTTGAATGGCGGGGGGTGCTGTGCTTGGCACGAGGTTCGATGCAAAGGGAAGTGAATAGCAATGGGGGGTGAAGGAGGAGTTTGCTGTCTCTGCTGTTTAACGGGGGGAAGTTGAAGTGGGCGGGGGTGCTGGTGCTTGTGCCGAGGGTGCGGAGGGCAAAGGGAAGTGAATAGCAATGGGGGGGTGAAGGAAGGAGGTTCATCCTGGTTATCTGCTGTTTAACGGCAGGGAAGTTGAATTGGAGCAGGGATGTGCTGTGACACGTGGAGCACGAGGTGCCGATGCAAGGTGGGGGAAGAAGGGAGGCTCATGGGGGGAACGAGTGAGGAAGGAGGTACAGAGGGAGGAGGGAGTGAGGATGAGGGAGTGAGGAGGCCCTGCCCGTGCCGTGCCGTGCGGGGGCCCTGCCCCGCGCTCGTTGAACAGAGGAACTTTCCCCTTTCCCAAATCCCCCCCCTATCTCTCCCATCTCTCCCAAACTCTCCCCCCACCCCTCTCCCCCATCTCTCCCCCAACTCCCCCCCAACCCCCCCCCCTCCACCCCCCCTTCCAATCCGTGGGCAGGGCACCAAGGGAGCGGTCCGTATTTTGGACTCCCACTTTGCCAACAACTCCGCTCCGCTGTCCAAGGGAGGGGCTGTCTCCTTCTCAGGAGACGTCCTCGCTATAGACAACTCCAGCTTCGTTAACAACTCCGCCCTAGTAAAGGGCGGTGCAATAGCAGGTGAGAAAAGTAGGAGGGGATAGGAGGGAGGGGAGAGGCCCTTCCCCATCTCCTCCCCACCCCACCCCTCCCTCCTCTTCCCCCCACTCCCTCCCCTTCCTCCCTCTCCCTCCCTCCATCTTTCCCCCCAGCCCTCGCTCATCTTCCCCCAGCTCTCTCCACCCCTTTCCCATCTCGCAGTGGGTTGAGCCACTGCACTAACAGGCATGACCACTCCATACCGACTCCCACTCCCTCCCACTCCTCCCTCCCCCTTCCCCATCTCGCAACGGATCGTGCCAGTGCCACCGCTCTGTACCAAGTCTCACCCCCTCCCACTCCTCCCTCTCCGCCCTCCCACTCGTCCCTCTCCCACCTCCCCATCCCCCAGTGGACCGTGCCAGCACCACCGCTCTGTACCCAATCGCACTTTCTCATCTTCATTTCCACTCCAGTCGAGCCGATCTGGCCGGCGGAGCACTCTCCCTCTCCTCTCAAGCAGCAGTCAGTGCGGTCAACTGCAGCCTCCTACACAGCACGGCCAGCAGCGGCGGTGCGATCATCGTAGAAGACTTTGGACGGCTCAGATTGCACCGCTCTGAGTGCTCTCACAACCAGGCGCCATCCGGGGGAGGCTGCATCTCCCTGGGTGACTTCTCCACCGCTACTGTCACCTCGTGTAACATCACATTCAACGAGGGGGGCAACGAGGGGGGAGCGCTGCGAATGTCAGGGCAGACGCTCCTCTCCCTCTCCGCCTCCCTCCTTGCCAACAACTCCGCCCTGGACGGTGGCGCCCTGTGGACGGAAATGGACGCCCGGGTGCAAATCACCGGCACCGTTGTCGCGGGCAACACGGCCAAGGTGCAGGGGGGGGGCGTCTACTGCATCCACCAGTCCAACCTCTCGGTTTCAGACTCGCAGTTTGTGGAGAACCGGGCTCTGGTGGGTGGGGGGCTGCTGGCGGAGGGCGAAGTGGCGGTGTGGGTGGCGGGGCGGTCGGGGTTTGAGCGCAACGAGCAGCACGCCGTGGTGCTGCTGGGGCAGACGCGCGCCCGCTTCCAAGACACCAGCTTCCGGGGGAATGCCGCCGCGGGGGATTCGAGAGACGGAGGCGCGATCTCCGTGTCGGACGTGGCGGTGGTGGCGGTGGCGGGGGCGGTGCTGATGGAGAGGAACCGGGCGAGGCGAGGCGGGGCGATCTTTGCCGATGCTGGCAGCACGCTCACTCTCTCCTCGTCACAAGCCAGTCGGCCGCGACTCATAAGGAATCGGGCCGTGCAGCAGGGAGGCGGGGTGTTTGTGGCGGGCAACGCCAGCATCACCGTCGCAGGCGCCACGTTTGTGGGCAACAAGGCCGGGGGGTCGGGGGCAGGCGTGGCGGTGCTGGAGCAGGCTCACGGTACTCTGAGGGGGTGCGAGTTCAAGCGCAACGAGGGAGGGGCGGAGGGGGCCGGGGTGTATATCAACCGAGGGGGGACAGCAGGTGGGGAGGCAGGAGGTGGTGTGGGTGCTGCTGGGTCTGTGGATTTGAGTGGGTTTCTGCCGCCTGGTGCTGCTGGCAGCAACGGCAACCATGACAGCGGCAACGGGACTGCGGTTGCGGCTTCTGATGCTGTCACAAAGTTTGGAGTTGCCACGTCACCACCACCATCATCACCATCATCACCAGCAGCAACAGCAGGGGTGGCAGGTTTGCTGCCTCTGACCGTGTCTCTCCTGTCCTTCCAGGGTAACACGGCGCCCAAAAGGCTGAGGCTAGGCTCGGCTTTCTTCGACGCCACGTTTGACCCCTCCGCGCGGTCCACCTGCACCAGATGCCGGCGGAAAGACCCCAGAGACACCATGGGGTCGCCGCCCACCACTTTTAAGATGCAGTGAGTGGTGAGCTTGGCATGTGGTAGGTTTTTTAGAATCCGCAAAAACCTATCACGGCTCTCCCTTGCTCTCTGTCCCGCAGAGCAGCAGGATGCAGGGCAGTCGGCAGAGTACTACTCTGTGCGGGGGGACATGGCCAACCTGGTTCTGCGCTGCATCTTCCCCACCCCCCTCCCTTCCTCCAACCCCCCCCAACCCTCTCAATCTCCCCCCCCCACCCTCTTCACCCTCTCCGTCCTCCGTTGTCCCCCTCAGCTGGCCGGGCACGGAGCAGCAGGACTCGGGGGGGGACAACAGTGTACCGAGTGCGGGGAGACATGGCCAACCCGGTGGCTGGGCTGCAGGTCACCGTGCTCCTCCCCTGGTCCCCCTCCCCCCCCCTTTGATCCCAACAGCTGGCCTGGGTCTGATCAAGTGGACGGTGGGGGGACGGCGGTGTACCGAGTGCGGGGAGACATGGCCAACCCGGTGGCTGGGCTGCAGGTCACCGTGCTCGATGCGGCCGGGCTCGTTGCTTCCAATGTGAGTCACCTCACCTGAGAGGCTTGTAAACTGAGGTCAGTGGCTTCGTGGGACGACTGACAGACCTGTAGCTTTGTGGCTCGTTGCGTCCAATGTGAGTCACCTCACCTGAGAGGTCTGTAGCGTTTTTCCAATGAAAATGCTCCTCCCAATGAGTGCTCCTCCCAACGGTGAGATCAGAGCAACAGCAGTGGCCGACGTCACAGTGACAGTGCCGCGGTAGTAACCAGACGTTTCACTTCCCCCCCCCTCCCCCACCCTCTGCCCCTTCCCCCCGTCAGAAAAATTCAGCTCCAGGGGAGGTCGTTCCCAGTGCGTTCATCGCGGGTGAGCTCAGAGCAAACAGCAGCAATACTTTTTTGTTTCCCTCCCTACCAATTCCCACCTAGGCATTGTCAAAATGAGATGCGATGCGATATCGCATCGCCGCGATAATATTTTTGAAAAAACACAAAATCGCATATCGCGTTTTGGGTGCGATATTTTTAAATATCGCGCTGTAGAGTGCGATATATCGCGCGATGCGATAAAATATCGCATCGACAGGGCTAAATTTCAGGGCAAAGTAAACTACAGCAGCAATTTGGATAGTTAGATAACTGGGAACTGCCGAAGGGTTTCAAACAGGGGCACAACACACCATTACAATGTCGGTTATAATAAATAAACAGCAAAAAAAAAATGGCGAGCTCCAAACGCGGGTGATTTTTTTAATATCGCGAATCGCATTTTATCGCGCCAATAAAAGTGCGATATAAACGCGATATCGCAAAAATCGCGGGATATTTGTAAAAATAAAATAAAAAAATCGCCATCGCAAAATGCGATATAACGCGATGCGATGCGATATGACCATGTCTACTCCCACCCCGCCACTCACCTTCCCCCTCCCCCTCCCCTCATCAGGACAACTCAGCTCTAGTGGAGGTCGTTCCCAGTGCATTTATTGCGGGTGAGCTCAGAGCAACAGCCATGTCCGGCGCAGTGACAATGCCACCCATAACCATCGTCGATATCCCACAGCCTGGTAACCCCTCTCCTGTTGCTGCTGCTGCTTCTGTTACACTGACTGGTAACCCTACGGCTGCTGCGTTTGGTGCACTGCCTGGTAACCAAACTGCTGCTGCCGCTGCTTTCGCTCCCAACGCCAGTGCCGGCACGCCAGCTGGCGTGCTCTGGTTAGCTGTCGCAGTCACCAGTCCTCTCAACGCATTCCCACCCTTTGAGCGCACCCTCGAGATCGTTTTCTGCCCGGCCGGGCAGTATTACAAAACAGCAGCAAGTGGAACCAACAGCAGCAGCAGCAGCAGCAGCAGCAGCAGCAGCAGCACCACCACCACCACCAACAACAGTACCAGCAGCAGCAGCAGCAGCAGCAGCAGCAGCAGTGACCCCACCAACCCCCCTGTGCCTCCCACAACTACCCCTGGAAGCCCAATGCTCTGTGCCACGTGCCCCGTTGGCAGCTACTGCGGGCTCGGTAGGGGCGCCCAGCACTGCCCAGATGGCACCTTCTCCTTCCGCCCAGGTGCCACCTCCCCCAGTGACTGCCTCCCCTGCCCGAACACCACCAACGCCAGAACGAACCTCCCTGCCATGTCGTGTTCCGATGGCGTTGCTGACGTGGCGGAGGGGTATTGGCTGGACCCAGGGAGTGTGGGGAAGGGGGCGGTGGTGGTGTATGCATGTGACGTGCTGGATGGGTGCCCCGGGTTCCAATACCCTCCAAAATACCCTCCAGTGCTGAATTCTAGCCAGTACTACTCTCCCAATGCTGCAGCAAGCTCCATGCAAGGCGGTGGTGATGTCCTGTGTGGGGAGGGGGAGGGGGAGGGGGAGGGGGAGGGGGGGCAGTGCATTGGGGAGTACGGGCAGTGTGGGCCGGGGTACGCTCAAGTGCGGCTGTGCTCCGAGTGCAGCAGCGGCTTCTATGCTTCGCTCAAGGAGTGCCGCCAGTGCACCGCCACTCTCTCCAATGTGAGCCTGCCACGTGGCACACAACTTAGTCCGTTTTGTTTTTCTGCTGAACCCACGCCACTCCCCCATGAAGGCTTCGCATCTCCTCATCTTAAGCCACTTCCGTTGTTGAGGCGCCTCCCTCACCTCAAAAATCATCTCCTCATCTCCTTCCCTTGTCAAATTCCTCCTCCCTCTCCCCACCCCCCTTGGCAGCTCTTTCCTCTCTTCCTCACGCTCATCATCCTGGCATGGGTCGCCATGGCCGTCCTCTCAGCCTCATTTCACGCGGCGGCCATTTTCCTCTCGGAGCTGCAGCTGTTGGCGCTCATCGCGTCGTACAACGTGCCCTTCCCCGCCTGGCTGCGCCCCTTCATCCAACTCTTCAACCTCGCGCTCTTTGCCCCGGTGAGTGCCGCTCTGGGGGGTGCGTGAGTGCTGCTCTGGGGTGTGGGTGAGTGCTGCTCTGAGGTGGGAGTGAGTGCCGCTCAGAGGTGTGTGTGTGTGAGTGCTCTTTGTTGCTGTGAGCGCTCAAGATGTCAGTGTTAGCAATCCCTGTGTGCATCTCTGAGTGCTCCTAGTCCCACTCATATCTGCATGGGAGGAGCAACGTTTCTTTCCCCATAACCCCCTTTTCCTCTCTCCCCCAACTCCCACTCCTCTATCCCCCACCCATCAGGACGTGATAGCACCGGCATGCGCCACCTCCTTTGGCTATGTGCAGGAGTGGGCTGTCACCATGCTCGTCCCCCTTATAGGCCTCCTCGCTTACGCCACACTCTTTGCCCAGCGAAAGCTCTACCTGTACCTTGTGAAATGCCCAACCACTGCTGATGCAGTTACCGCCCCCACTTCTGGATCTGCTGCTGCTGCTGCTGCTGCTACTGCTGCTGCTGCTGCTGCTGCTGCTGCTACTGCTGCTGCTGCTGCTGCTGCTACCTCTGCTGATGCTGCCGCTTCTGCTGTCCTTTCCACTGCTGCAGTTGCAGATGCTGCTGCTGCTGCTGCTACTGCTACCGCCGCTGCCAGCAACACAGAAACAGACACTACTGCATCCCCTAACCATCCCCCTCCTCCAACCACCCTCACAACCACCCATCCACCAACAAGCGCCTCCCCTCTCATACCCCCTCCGACCCCTTCAACTACACCCTAGTTCACGGGGTAACCAACTGGTTAGACCTGTGCTACGCACCCGTTGCCTACCGCTGCCTGCAAGCGCTCCACCCATACTTCTACGGGGTAGAGACGCTTGCTGCCGCCCCGTCGATCCTCTGGTTCTCTGCCGCCCATAGCACCATGTTTGCTGTGGCTGTGGTGGCTCTGCTGCTGTATGTGGTGGGGTTGCCAGTGGGGCATGCAGTGGTGCTGTGGTGGGGGCGAGAAAGTGGGGAGGAGAGGAGAGGAGAAAGGGGGAAGAGAGGGGAGGGGAAGAGAGGGCAGGGGAAGAGAGGGCAGGGGAAGAGAGGGCAGGGGAAGAGAGGGGAGGGGAAGGTAGCGGAGGGGGGGAGGCAAGGGGGAATGGATGGGCATGAGTACAGGAGGCGGTGGGGGTGGATGGTGAGGCAATACAAGGATGACTACTTCTGGTGCGTCTTGGTCTGCTCATCTCACTTGCCTTCTAAACTTAGCTCAGCTCGCCTCGCCTGCCTGCCTGTTCACCCCATATGTCCACTCTTGGAGCTGCTGGCACCTGTGTGTGGGAAAGAAGAGTTGGTTGGATAGGAAGTAGAGGGGTGAGCATAGTTGAGAGAGGGACAGGGGGGATTCATTGGGTTCAAGGCCAAGATTTTGGCCCTCCCCAATAATTTGGGTTGCCCAAACCATCGGGGGTTCCAACAGTCTTGGTTGGGATTACTGGGGTTCTCAATAACTGAGGGCCCAACTCGTAGAGCGTCATAATGGCCTATGGAGCCCACCGTTTTTGGGAACCCAACCCGTTACTAGGGTAATTGCACCCTTGTTAAATCAAGTTGCCTATACGTATCCTAGAATACTAATCTATGTAGGATAAGCGAGCAGGGTTATATTCTGACAATGTTTCCCCTCTCCCCCCTTACACCACCCATCCAGGTGGCACCTCACCTGCTACGTCCGCCGCCTGCTCATCGCCAGCCTGGCAGTCTTCGCCTCCACGTCCCCCGAGGCGCAGCTGTCCGCCACGCTGCCCCTGCAGGCGGTGCGCATCGGGCTGCAGTACGGCGCCTCGCCCTTCGCCTCACTCTCGCTGGACCTGCTCTCGTCGCTGCTGGCCCTCTCAGAGTTCCTCTTCACCCTCGCCATGACCGGGGAGAATTACATCAAGCTCTCCGCCGCCGCCACCGCGCTCTTTGTGATCGCGCTCCTGCTGCTGCTGCTGCCTGCGCTGCTGGTGCTGTTGTATGAAGTGGTAAATGGTTACATTGCCGCGTGTAACCGCAGGGAATTGGTGAGGCTGGAGGGCGGAGGGAGAGGCGGGAGCCCAGGCGTTGCCTTGCTGTTGGAGGGGTCTGCAGGGCCTCATGCCTCGTCTGAAGCCACGACTGGAGGGGCATCTACAGCCGCACCTCAAGGGGCGTCTGCAGGCACGCCTGAAGGGGCAGGTCCTGATGAAAGGGAGGGGCTTGATGTGGGGGATGTGGCTGACTGGTTCAGACCCCATGTGCTCTATGCCTTCCTTCACCACTCCAACAACACTGCTGCTGCTGCTAGTGCTGGAGCAGCAGCAGCACAACCAGCAGCCACCTCAACATCACCACCAGCACCAGCACCATCATTTCAGCAGCAGCACCCTGCACGCCTCCTCCTCACCATCCACCGCCGCTTCCACCTCTGCCAGTCAAAGGGCCTGGGCGGCACCGACTGGACGCGGCACCTGTCCAAGTCGCAGCTGTACGCCGTGCTCTCACAGGCGCTGCTGGGTGCCGCCGTGGGGGACGTCACCGTCGCCACCCTGCCCGCTAGGACTGGCACAGACCGGGCCAGAGCTTCCCTGTCGCATCAACAGCAGCAGCATCAGCAGCAGCAGCAGCAGCAGCAGCAGCAGCGGCAGCAGCAGTTACGAGTGGCAGCAGCAGCGGCGGACATAGGCGGGGTGGGGTCCACGAGCGGGCGGCGCAGCAACATCAGTGTTCTGGTTCGCAGCCTGTCCAAGCGAGAGGGGCTGCCAGTGGCTGATCCGCTCTCCATGTCTCGAAGCAGCTCCAGGCACGAGCTGCCAGCAGCAGGAGTAGGAGGAGTGGGAGCAGCAGTGGTAGGCGAAGGGGCAATCATCGGTGCCGGGTTGCTGGTGCACAGTGCGTCCTCCTCAAGGGACTTGGCTGCAGACCCGCCAGTCTGGGCGTCCGCCATCGGGGCATACGGCCTCTCCAGGAGCGCCTCCCGCCGCGAGATCGTACCGGACTCACCACGGGCAGTGGGAGGCGTGGGAGCAGCGGGGTCAGGGACAGGCTTAGGAGGAAATCTGGGAGCAGTGTTGGCAGCAGGAGTGCCGGGAACGCCCGTGGCGCGGCAGGGGTCTCGCCGGGACTTTGTGCCCGACTCGCCCCTCGCCATCTCCAGAAGCGCCTCCCACCATGCTGCACTCGCAGACTCTCCCACCACTGCTGTTCTCTCCGCCTCCCCCTCAGCACAAGCCCTACCTGGCCTTGGCGGCTCAGGTGGTTTGGGCGCCTTGGGCGGCTACTCCCTCTCCCGCAGCAGCTCCCGCCGCGACCCTCCAGGTGCACTCTCAGGTGAATTCTCAGGTGCTCTCCCAGTGGTGCGGCAGTCCATCTCCCGCAGCTCCTCGCGGCGGGAGATCGTATCGGAGATCGAGGGCGAGCTGGCCGCCACGGGCCTCCCAGGGTCGCTGTCGCGCTCCCTCTCCCGGTCTCTTTCCAGGAGTGCGTCGCGGCGCGAGCGGTGGAATGATGGCAGCAGCAGCTTTGGGGGGGGCTGGTGGAGGCTGAGGTTGTTACGAGGGCCGAGTGGCCTCCGCAGCTCGAGGACCATGTCACCTGGGCCGCTGCTGCTGGGGGTGCTGGGGGTGCTGGGGGGGATGGGGGTGCTGGGGGTGCTGGGTGTGCTGGGGGTGCTGCTGTTTCTGACAGGGGCACTGAAGGTGCTCGAGAGCGGAGCAGCAGCAGGGTTGGCAGCGGCTGTGGCAGCAGCAATGGCTCGCCTCCTCCTCCTCCTGCTTCGTCCACCCCTTCCACGGCCACCAATGCAGCTGCTGCTGCTGCTGCTACTGACTCATCACCAGTTGATGCTGACTCATCACCAGTTGAAGCTGACTCATCGCCAGTTGAAGCTGACTCAGCGCTACATGCACCCTCTCCATCCCGGCCAGCACCTGCTTCCGTTGCGAGCAGCACAGGGCCCAGTGAGGCAGCTCTGCACGGCACATCACCCTCATTACGAGTGGGTTTATGGCCACGGTCAGATGCTGCACCAGCAGCAGCACCGGATACAACAGCAGCAACAGCACTAGGAACACCACCAGAACTGGGAACAGCTGGTGCAACAGCAGCAGTAGCAACAACAACATCAGCAGCAGCAGCAGGAGCAGCAGCAGGGGCAGGGGAGCCGGGAGGAAGGGGGGAGGCGGAGTACGTGGAGGCGCGGCTGGGCGTGGCGGAGCTGACTCTGACGTTTCAGCGGCACCTGGCCATTCTGGTGCGCGTGGAGGCGCACCGCAGGGAGGACTCGCTGCGCCTGCTGCTGCACTCCCACGCCGTGCAGGACGTCATCGCCTGGCTCACCTCCCCGCACTGGTAAGGAATACCCATGCCAGATGTTATTGCTTGGCTCACCTCCCCGCACTGGTAAGGAATACCCATGCCAGATGTTATTGCTTGGCTCAGCTCCCCGCACTGGTAAGGAATACCCATGCCAGATGTTATTGCTTGGCTCACCTCCCCTCACTGGTAAGGAATACCCATGCCAGATGTTATTGCATGGCTCACCTCCCCGCACTGGTAAGGAATACCCATGCCAGATGTTATTGCTTGGCTCACCTCCCCGCACTGGTAAGGAATACCCATGCCAGATGTTATTGCTTGGCTCAGCTCCCCTCACTGGTAAGGAATACCCATGCCAGATGTTATTGCTTGGCTCACCTCCCCGCACTGGTAAGGAATACCCATGCCAGATGTTATTGCGTGGCTCACCTCCCTGCACTGGTAAGGAATACCCATGCCAGATGTTATTGCGTGGCTCACCTCCCCGCACTGGTAAGGAATACCCATCCCAGATGTTATTGCTCGGCTCACCTCCCCTCACTGGTAAGGAATACCCATGCCAGATGTTATTGCTTGGCTCACCTCCCCTCACTGGTAAGGACGACCAGCTGTGCAGCCATGTGGGTTGTACCGTACCTAAGCTATTTTGTTGGATTCCTTTCGTTTTCTGCTTTTTGTTGTCTGCTTCTCGTGATTTCTGTCTTCGTGCTTTGTTTCTTTTCATCGGTCCCCTCCGCTCTGTCCAGCATGCCGGAAGATCAGAGGCTTGTGTTGGATCTGGTCAGATTGATGAGAGAGGCAGCAGAGGAAGAGGCGGGGGGTTGCAGTGGTACTGGGGCTTCCTTTGCTTCTTCCGCACGCACAGAATGTTTAGTGGTGTTTATTGAGCTGTAATTTGATGTACGCATGTACCGGTACGTACTAAGCCTGTTTAATCACTGGACTGGAGTACCCATCGTGTCACGAACGCCCAGAAGCCAACTGGAGCAAGTGGGCGACCTGCATTGGATAAGCCCTTCGCTGTTGGCTACCTACAGTATGCAGGGCTCTGAATTGCAATTGAAATTGCACTAAAAATGACGTGCACTTTTAGCCCAACTACTATGTCAGGGCTAGTAAGTACTAGCATTATTCTGGCTGCAACCGTCAGCTACTATACTTGATTCTGGATATAATTGCACAACAGGTTGCACTCAAACCTAATGAAGTGTCTTCATATAAAAGGCTACTGAAGCTGTCTAATCCTACCGGAACAGGGATAAATAAATAAAAAATCCTAATCCAATCATAGAATGAGACAAGTCCCTCTGGTTTTCCTGCAACAGGGGTCTCCAAAACACCACATTGCCACAACCCACAGGAGCCCTCCCCCCTTCCAACCAAGCTGGCATTGCACCTCCAGAACCAAGCTCCTGGAACCTGCTGCTCCATTTGGTATCACATACCGGTAGTAGAAGCGCGTCACCTTAAACTGCCAGTCCCACCAATACCGGTAACGGTAACAAGGCTCATCAGCACCCCAATCAAGTGGTTGAAACTTGAAACAGACCCCCAAGGAGCACTTGCTGTGTTCAGCCTTGCCTGACAGCACGCACACTTCACACACTATACGCCCTCCTCCCACACCCCCTGGCCTGACTGCACCACTCCTGCCTCACCCTGCTGGCAGTGTACTCGGCAACCACAAGGAAGGCTGCTGTGAACAACCATCCTTCTGGAAACGAGTCTGCTGCCTCGCATCCCCTTTCCCAGCCACCCTAAGTGAGCTGCCTGTCCGTTTCACCATCCCCGCTGTATCTCCCAACCCCAGCTTGCTCACTCGTCTCACTCCCTCACCACTTTGACTGCCCCAACCACACTAACTTCACCACCCGTCATGCCACCCTGCTGTCTAACCATCCCACTATCTCACCATCCCTGCTATCTCACCACTCTCACAGCTGTTGTTTCACCACCCCCACCATCGCAACACCCCCGCAGCTCCGCCCTGCTGTCTCACCAGCCCGGATTTCTCCCCACCCCTGCGGTGTCACCAGCCCTGGACAATCCTCTCCCGCGTGGCCCGCCTCTCCTCCATTCGCTGGCTCATAGCATCCTCCTCGTCCCTCCCCCCCTTCAACAGCCCCGCATTCGACAGCCGGTGCGCCGGGTGCTTCTCAGGGGGACCAGACGACGGGTCCAGCAGGGACAAGATATGCGCAGCCCAGTACAGCGACTCTGGCGGGCCTGTATTGTGCACTCGTTTCACTGCAGTGAGTCCGCCACTAGCGAGGATGTAAGACGCGGAGATCTTATTGGAGGACAGCACGTAGAGCGCCCAGGCGGCGTTTTTCGAAGCCTCGGGATTGTCGCTCTGGCAGAGAAGGTCTAGGAGCAGCGGGGACGCGCCCGCTCCCGCTACAGTCAGCTTGTTCTCGTCGTTATTCACGGCGAGCGTGCCTAAAGCGAGCGCTGCTTTCTCCTGCTCCCGAGGGGAGCCTTCCTTCAGCATAGTCACGAGGGCCGGGATGCCGCCTGCCTCAGCTACAGCCGCCTGGTTCTTCATGTTATTGGCTGTGAGCTGTGCTAGCGCTTCGGCCGCTTCCTGCTTCGCTACAGGCTCCGACTCCGATTGGATGATAGCGACTAATGACGGGACGGCTTCTGACGCGGCGATTATGACCTTATTCTCCGTGTTGACCGCTAGATTCCACAGCACCCGCGCCGCGACCGCCCTGGCTTCGGGGCTCCCGGAGCGCAGGAGTGACACAAACGAGGGCACGCACCCCGCTTTAGCGATCACGACTCGGTTCTCGTCTAGGCACGCGAGGCGCAGCAGCACGCGGGCGGCGGCTAGCTTCGTGGGCTCCCCCAGGCTATCCGGAAGGGCGAGGATCACAGACAGCACGGGCACTGCGCCGGCCGCGGCGACGCTAAGCTTCCCTTCGTCCGTCTCCGCCAGCTCTAGGAGCGCGGCTAGTGCGGCCCGCTTCTCGGCGGTGGATCCGTCGGTGAGCGCGGAGACCAGCACGCGCGCGTGGTCGCATTCCGACGAGATGCTGCTCACGCTGGGAGGGGGGCGCGGGTATTCCGACGCATGTCTGACGTGGGATGACGTGTAACCTGAGGGCACCATCCCTCCGTTAGCGTCTGCGCCCATCCCCTCCCCCTCCCCGATACTCAGCTCCCCCCTTGCGCCCGTCCCCCTCTCCTCCGCGCCAGCAGCGGGCCTCGCCGCATTCGCTCGCCGCACGTTCGGAATGTCCATCGAAAACTCCCCGGGAGTGCCGCGCGCCGCCGCCACGTCAGCAGCGTCGGTGGAGGAGAAGGAGCGAGGCATCACCGCCGCCTCCCCCGCCGTGCTGGGCCGGTGCAGGTCCGGCGCAAGCCGCCGCTGCCGCTCCTGCTGCGGGTGGCGCTCCCCGTAATTACCATAAACCCCGTGAATCCCGTGCAGTCCGCGCGCGCCGTGCGACCCCTGCTCCTGCACGCCGTCGCTTCCTGACCGCGGGAGCGCGCCGAGCCGGGAATTGTGCGACCCGGATTGCCCGCCGCCGTTCCAGGCGCGCGGGGAGCGGTCGACCATGGGGCTGGAAGGGAGAATCACCTCCGTTGAAAACCCACGCTGTAAGCCTCCTCCACCCGCGGAACCGTAATCAGAGCCAAAACGCTCCGCTGGATCCCCGCCCAAGCCCCCGCCGATGCCTCCGCCAGTCCCTCCGCCGATGCCTCCGGCACCGCTGTTGACGCCGCCTATTACGCTGCCCGGCGTGTAGACCCCGCGGCCGTGGAAGTTGTCCTGGCCAATCAGAATGAGGCATTCCGTATGGCACTGGCGAATCTCCGCTAAACACGATTCCAACCGCTCCGCGATTTCCGCCCGGCGCTTAAAGCGGAACATAATCCCAAGCACGGACACTTTGGTGCAGGTCTCCAAGAGGAGCTTCGCCTCCTGTAACTCTGTAACCAGACGCTCGAAGACGAAGGAGGCTCGGGGGTCATGGATGAGGCTCATGGACGAAGCCTGCAGGCGGCGAAGCACGGGAAGCAGCTGCTGCGTACGCGTTGCAATGCGATCCGTTAGCAGCCGGTGGACGCGAGTCTGTGACGCGGTGGCGGCGATCTGAAGAATGCGTTCGGCGAGGGATAGCGCCGTCGCGAGCTCGGCCAACACGCGACGATCCGCGTTGTCCGAACCGGTTTCGATTTCTGCGACGTCCTCCCTAGGGATGATCGGCTGACGATTCCCGGAAGCACGACCGTCACGGGAACTATCGCGATGGTCTCGACGGTCTCGACGGTCGCGATTGTCCTGATGAGGATTTTCATGATCAGGATCGGGTTGGATCTCGCCGTCCATTGTGTGCCGTGCCGTTCGCTCAGGAGCACAGCACGGATGGCGTCGCTTGAAGCGACACGGGAGCTTCTGCTCAGAAATTGGAGCTTAATCTTGATTAGCAGCCTGAAAAATGAAATGTAGGGCACTTGGAATGAATCATGGCTTGTCTGGGAGACATGATGCAAGCAAGAGTTGGCCAGAAAGAGAGGGAAGTCGAGGAGGATGAACAGAAAGAACCATGGAATGGCATGATAGAATGGGAGGCTTTTACAATCCCGCGTATGTTCTGCCCAGTCCAGCTGCCAGGAACACACTCAAGAATCAAGGGCGAAAATCGCGAGTAACCGGTAACCCGTATTTGCCCATGCATGTGCCTGCTGCACAGTACTGCAGTGCTGTGTTTGATTGCGGTGCAATAAGTTGCTTTGCGTTTCAAAGCGTTCGAATAGCACCCTAGAGCGGTTGGGTATGAAGAACGAACCCTTCCTGCAGTTCTGGTTGCCCTTCGAGAATGGAACATGACAGCCTTGGGAAGTCCACCAGCTACAGCTGGGCAAGGCGTGGTGAGCTGATGAATCAGACGTGATACAAACGAGAAGCGGTGCAAGCGCGGTGGTCACTCGGGAACGTGCAGTGGTGCAAGAAGAGTCGTCGGTCTTCATAGCTACATTCCTGATTCATTACAGCTGTGCTAAACAACTAAACAACACCTGTGATTTGGAAAAAGCCCGTTGGAAAACACTAATATTGTACCATCAGTCAGTACGAACAGAAATACCAGCCAGCTCTTTGACTAAAGCCCCAGGCACCCTATGATTAAGAGTGTAGTAGCTCAATAAATACCGCTGAACATTCTGTGCGTGCGGAAGAAGCAAAGGAAGCCCCAGTACCACTGCAGCCCCCCTGCCTCATCCTCTGATGCCTCTCTCATCAATCTGATCAGCTCCAACACAAGCCTTTGATCGTCCGGCTTGCTGGAAGGAGCATATGGGAGAGTCAGAAAGACGAAACCAAAAAGACAAGAAAACGAAGCGTAAGAGAGAAGGCAAGCTCAACACAATAGAAACAAGAATACCAGCCTTTGGCATTACAACCCACGTATGGCTTCTTAGAATACGAGAATGATAGAAACACGATAGAACAAGAGAGACATAGGGTTGGAGTTGTACCCTCTAAGAACATACATCTATCTGGCCTATAACGTCTACATACAAACATATGTATCCAAGGCTGTCGATTGGTTTGGGGCCAATACTTGAGAGGCCGAGGTCCCCCGAAAACAGCCCTGAAATTTCCGGAAAGCGACTGAACTGAGCTCTGAAGCGTACGGGCTGGGGTCCAAACCAGAACTTGAAATCAGGGCTGCGCCGGAGACTGTACTTTGTCAGAGAAAAAACTTCATCATCGTACCAGGTTATTTTCGCAGCCTATTTTCGCAGGAGAATTTGTGTGCCAAATCTGATAGTAGTGCACATTTCTCTTTTATTCATAGGTGTCACGGACTGTACTGAGTGGGGAGGCCAGCCTATTTTCGCAGGAGAATTTGTGTGCCAAATCTGATAGTAGTGCACATTTCTCTTTTCTTCATAGGTGTCACGGACTTTGCCAATTTCTGGGATGCGGGAGTGTGTGGGAGGGGCTTGTGACTGGCTTTGGAGACGGCCAAAAAAATTATCGGTGGAGAAGGGGGAGGGGGAAGTGGGGATGTAGGAGGAGGGGATGTTGGAGTACTGTCTCGGGCTGTGGGGGCTTGTCGAATTCTCTGGGGATCCGAGGGGGGTGGGAGGAATGTCTGCGGGTGTGGGGGACTTCATCGATTTTCCTATGTTCGGTTTGGGTGTGGGAAGAATGTCTCTGGTTTGGAGGACTTAGAGGAATTTTCTGGCTGGGGGGATTCTCTGGGGGTGCGAGGGGTGTGGGAGGAATGTCTCTAGGTGTGGGGGACTCCGAGGAATTTTCCGAGCTCGGGTAGGATGTGGAAGGGATGTCTCTGGTTTGGAGGACAGCCAAATTGTCCTAGCCGAAGGGGAAGGTGGGGTGGTGTGGGTGGGCGAGGAAGGTATGCATAGGTAAGGGTATGTCTATACACCGTTACAGAAAATCAGGGAAAGGCTTCAACTCAGCCCTGAGCGATTCTGGGAAAGGGCCGAAAGAAACCCTTAACCATCACGAGCAAGTCCCGAATCAAACCCTGAAAAGTCGGACCCTGACGGACGGCTTACCCGGAATGTTCAGGGCATTAAGGGCATTAGCCCTTGAATCGACAGGCCTGTATGTATCAGTTGACATGGTTGTGTCTAAAGACCCGCTGGGGTTGCCCTTGAGAGATCCTCGAGGAAGGGCTACAGGCCTCTCTGCCTGGGGGGTTGTGGACGCGCTAACCCGCAACGTAATACGCCCTTTTAACTCAGTGGTTAGCGACTGAGTTCTGACAGGCTGCCCGCTGGTACTGCTTTTGCACCAGTGCGGGACACGAAGGTGAGCCAAGCAATAACTTATGGCATGTGTATTCCTTGCCAATGCGGGAAGGTGAGCCAAGCAATAACATCTTGCACGGGTATTCCTTACCAGTGAGGGGAGGTGAGCCAAGCAATAACATCTGGCATGGGTATTCCTTACCAGTGCGGGGAGGTGAGCCAAGCAATAACATCTGGCATGGGTATTCCTTACCAGTGAGGGGAGGTGAGCCAAGCAATAACATCTGGCATGGGTATTCCTTACCAGTGAGGGGAGGTGAGCCGAGCAATAACATCTGGGATGGGTATTCCTTACCAGTGCGGGGAGGTGAGCCACGCAATAACATCTGGCATGGGTATTCCTTACCAGTGCGGGGAGGTGAGCCACGCAATAACATCTGGCATGGGTATTCCTTACCAGTGCGGGGAGGTGAGCCAAGCAATAACATCTGGCATGGGTATTCCTTACCAGTGAGGGGAGCTGAGCCAAGCAATAACATCTGGCATGGGTATTCCTTACCAATGCGGGGAGGTGAGCCGAGCAATAACATCTGGCATGGGTATTCCTTACCAGTGCGGGGAGGTGAGCCATGCAATAACATCTGGCATGGGTATTCCTTACCAGTGAGGGGAGGTGAGCCGAGCAATAACATCTGGCATGGGTATTCCTTACCAGTGCGGGGAGGTGAGCCAAGCAATAACATCTGGCATGGGTATTCCTTACCAGTGCGGGGAGGTGAGCCAAGCAATAACATCTGGCATGGGTATTCCTTACCAGTGCGGGGAGGTGAGCCAGGCGATGACGTCCTGCACGGCGTGGGAGTGCAGCAGCAGGCGCAGCGAGTCCTCCCTGCGGTGCGCCTCCACGCGCACCAGAATGGCCAGGTGCCGCTGAAACGTCAGAGTCAGCTCCGCCACGCCCAGCCGCGCCTCCACGTACTCCGCCTCCCCCCTTCCTCCCGGCTCCCCTGCCCCTGCTGCTGCTCCTGCTGCTGCTGCTGATGTTGTTGTTGCTACTGCTGCTGTTGCACCAGCTGTTCCCAGTTCTGGTGGTGTTCCTAGTGCTGTTGCTGCTGTTGTATCTGGTGCTGCTGCTGGTGCAGCATCTGACCGTGGCCATAAACCCACTGTAATGAGGGTGATGTGCCGTGCAGAGCTGCCTCACTGGGCCCTGTGCTGCTCGCAACGGAAGCAGGTGCTGGCCGGGATGGAGAGGGTGCATGTAGCGCTGAGTCAGCTTCAACTGGCGATGAGTCAGCTTCAACTGGTGATGAGTCAGCTTCAACTGGTGATGAGTCAGCTTCAACTGGTGATGAGTCAGCTCCAACTGGCGATGAGTCAGCTTCAACTGGTGATGAGTCAGCTTCAACTGGCGATGAGTCAGCTTCAACTGGTGATGAGTCAGCTCCAACTGGCGATGAGTCAGCTTCAACTGGTGATGAGTCAGCTTCAACTGGCGATGAGTCAGCTTCAACTGGTGATGAGGCAGCAGCAGCAGCAGCTGCATTGGCGGCCGTGGGAGGGATGGACGAAGCAGCAGGAGGAGGCGAGCCATTGCTGCTGGTGCCACGGCCGCTGCCAACCCTGCTGCTGCTTGGCTCTCTAGCGCCTGCAGTGCCCCTGTCAGACACAGCAGCACTCCCATCCCCTGCTGCAACATTCCTATTCCCGGCACCACCACTGCCTTCCCCTCCCCCTCTTGCACCTTCCTCACTCACCCCTGCATGTTCCCCACCAGTGCCACCACCACCCCCAGCAGCAGCACCCCCAGCACCACGACCACCATCAGCAGCAGCACCACCCCCAGCCCCAGCAGCGGCGGCCCAGGTGACATGGTCCTCCAGGCGCGGGGGCCACTCGGCCCGGGTGACCACCTCCGCCTCCACCACGCCCCCCCCAAAGCTGCTGCTGCCATCATTCCACCGCTCGCGCCGCGACGCACTCCTGGACAGCGACCGAGAGAGGGACCGCGACAGAGACCCCGGGAGGCCCGTGGCGGCGAGCTCGCCCTCGATCTCTGACACGATCTCCCGGCGGGAGGAGCTCCGGGAGATGGACTGCCGCACCACTGGGAGAGCACCTGAGAATTCACCTGAGAGTGCACCTGAGGGGTCGCGGCGGGAGCTGTTGCGAGACAGGGAAAAGCCGCCCAGGCCAGGTAAGGCTGCTGCTGAGGGGGAGATGGAGAGGGCAGCAGAGGCAGGGGAGTCTGCAAGGGCAGCGTGGCGGGAGGCGCTTCTGGAAATGGCAAGGGGCGAGTCGGGCACAAAGTCCCGGCGCGACCCCTGCCGCGCCACCGGCGTTCCCGGCACTCCCGCTGCCAGCACCGCCCCTAGACCTGACGCTAGACCGGCGCTTCCCCATAGCTGCTTCCCTCCTGCTCCTGCTGCTCCTGCTGCTCCTACTCCTACTCCTACTCCTCCCGAGAATGGTCCCACGGCTCCCACTGCCCGTGGTGAGTCCGGAACGATCTCGCGGCGGGAGGCGCTCCTGGAGAGGCCGAAAGCCCCGATGGCGGACGCCCAGGCCGGCGGGTCAGAGGCCGAGTCCCCCCGTGAGGTGGACCCGCTGCGCACCAGCAACCCGCCACCGATGATCGCCCCCTCTCCTACCACTGCTGCTCCTGCTCCTGCTGCTGCTCCTGCTGCTGGCAGGTCGTGCCTGGAGCTGCTTCGAGACATGGAGAGGGGGTCAGCCGCTGGCAGCCCTTCCCGCTTGGACAGGCTGCGAACCAGAACACTGATGTTGCTGCGACGGCCACTCGTGGACCCCACCCCTCCCAAGTCCGCCGCTGCTGCTCCTATTGCCGTCATACTGCCTCCCACCACTACTCCCAACTGCGGCTGCTGCTGCTGCTGGTTCGCCTGCTGCCGCTGCTGCTGCTGCTGCTGCAGCGTGATCTGCGGTTTCAGCACACGAGAGTCTGTACCAGGCCTAGCGGGCAGGGTGGCGACGGTGACGTCCCCCACGGCGGCGCCCAGCAGCGCCTGTGAGAGCACGGCGTATAGCTGCGACTTGGACAGGTGCCGCGTCCAGTCCGTGCCGCCCAGGCCATTTGACTGGCAGAGGTGGAAGCGGCGGTGGATGGCGAGGAGGAGGTGAGCCGGGTGCTGCTGCTGCTGCTGCTGGGGTGATGGTTGTGGTGTGGTGCTGGTTGCTGAGTCAGCTGGTTGTGCTGCTGCTCCTTCAGCAGCAGCAGCAGCAGCAGTCTTGTTGGAGTGGTGAAGGAAGGCATAGAGCACATGTGGTCTGAACCACTCTGCCACGTCCCCCATATCAACCCCTTCATACCCATCCTCACTCATCTCTTCGCCTGTGTTTCCGCACCTCCCTTGAGCCCTCGGTGTTTGCAAACGCGAGTCAGGGCCCCGGCTCCCACCTCTTCCCCATCCCCTCCCAACCCCACCCTTCCGTCCCCCCTCCAGCCTCACCAACGCCCAGCGGTTACACGCGGCAATGTAACCATTGACCACTTCATACAACAGCACCAGCAGGCCGGCAGCAGCAGCAGCAGGAGCGCGATGACATAGAGCACGGAGGCGGCGGCGGAGAGCTTGATGTAATTCTCCCCGGTCATGGCGAGGGTGAAGAGGAACTCCGAGAGGGCCAGCAGCCGATGAGAGCAGGTCCAGCGAGAGCGAGGCGAAGGGCGAGGCGCCGTACTGCAGCCCGATGCGCACCGCCTGCAGGGGCAGCGTGGCGGACAGCTGTGCCTCGGGGGACGTGGAGGCGAAGACTGCCAGGCTGGCGATGAGCAGGCGGCGGACGTAGCAGGTGAGGTGCCACCCTGGATGGGTGGTGTGTGTGGGTGGGATACTCGGATAAGGACGACGTTGACAACATCTCCCAGGCGGTGGACCAGGTCAAAATTGAGCCTCGAAGGCAAGGCAAAGGCAAGTGCAGTTTGAGAGGTGACTTTTTTGAGTCGACCTCAAACGTCACCTCATCAAATGCTTTTGAGTCCGACTCAAAAAGTCACCTCCGGTTAAATGCTTTTGAGTCGACTCAAAAGTCACCTCGTTAAATGCTTTGAGTCGACTCAAAAGTCACCTCACTAAATGCTTTTGAGTCGACCCAAAAGTCACCTCATTAAATGCTTTTGAGGCAAGTGCCAGTTTGAGAGAGCAACTTGAGAGGCAAGGCAAGTGCAGTTGAGAGAGCAGCTTGAGAGGCAAGGCAAGTGCAGTTGAGAGAGCAACTTGCCTTGTCGAGGTTCATTTAATGATGCACAGAAGTAGTCCGCGCACATCAATGGATGGGTGGCTCACCAAAAGTAGTCATCCTCATACCGGCTGACCATCCACCCCCACGCCTCCTGAACGCATGCCCATCCCAACCCCCCCTCTCCTCTCCCCTCTCTTCCCCTCCCTGCGTCTTCCCTTCCTCTTTCTTCCCCTCTCCTCTACTTCCCTTCCCCTCCCCCCCTCTCTTCCCCTCCCCTCGCTCCCTTCCCCCTCTCCCCCACCACAGCACTGCAGCATAACCCCACTGGCGCCCCCACCACATACACTAGAAAGCACCACTACAGCCACAGCAAACATGGTGTTATGGGCGGCAGAGAGCCAGAGGAGTGACGGGGCGGCGGCGAGCGTCTCTACCCCGTAGAAGTACGGGTGGGAGCGCTTGCAGGCAGCGATAGGCGACAGGTGCGTAGCACAGGTCTAACCAGTTGGTTACCCCGTGAACTAGGGTGTAGTTGAAAGAATCGGAGGGGAATGAGAGGTGGGATGCTTGTGGGTGGATGGGTGGGTGGGAGGGTGGTTGGAGGAAGGGTATGATTGGGAGTGGCAGTAGTGTCTGTTTCCGTGTTTGCTTCCAGCAGCGGCAGCAGCAGCAGAATCTGCAGCCGCAGTTGTGGCGGGAAGTGCAGAAGTGGCAGCATCAGCAGCGGTAGCAGTGGCAGCAGCAGGAGCAGAACTGGGTGGGGTGGTAACGGTAGCAGCAGTGGATCTGTATTTCACAATGTACAGGTAGAGCTTGCGCAGGGCGAAGAGTGTGGCGTAAGCGAGGAGACCTATAAGGGGGACGAGCATGGTGACAGCCCACTCCTGCACATAGCCAAAGGAGGTGGCGCATGCCGGTGCTATCACGTCCTGATGGGTGGGGGATAGGGATGGGAGTTGGGGGAGAGAGGATAAGAAGGCGACCCGTGCCTACACACGCACTGGGGCCACTGAACCAGCACTGGGGGCACTGAACCAGCACTGGGGGCACTGAACCAGCACTGGGGGCACTGAACCAGCACTCACAGCCAGGCGGGCAAGGGCACATTGTACGACGCGATGAGCGCCAGTAGGTGCAGAGCACTCACTTATCGAGACAACACTCACCGACTCACACCTCAGAGCAGCACTCACCCACACCCCAGAGCAGCACTCACGCACCCCCCAGAGCAGCACTCACAGGGGCAAAGAGCGCGAGGTTGAAGAGTTGGATGAAGGGGCGCAGCCAGGTGGGCAAGGGCACGTTGTACGACGCGATGAGCGCCAGTAGCTGCAGCTCCGAGAGGGAAAATGGCCGCCGCGTGAAATGAGGCTGAAGAGGACGGCCATGGCCGCCCCATGCCAGGATGACGAGCGTGAGGAAGAGAGGGAAAGAGCTGGCGAGGGGCGGGGGGGGGTAGACAAGAGAAGGGGGCGATTAGAGCTGTGAGCTGCCAGCACCTGCTGCAGCTGTGAGAAGAAAAATGGGTGCCCGTGCGGAATGTTGGATGAGAGTTATGGCTAGTAGGGCCCATGCTGGGATCGTGAGCGTGAGGAAGAGAGAGAAGAGCTGGGAGGAGGGGGCGGGGGGGGGGGGGGGGGAAGGGAGTATGGGGGTAGAGTTGACAAGGGGAGGGCACATCACCGGAAGCATTGAAGGGCAGCGGCTGGAGTCTGGTGAGCAAACGTTGAAGGCCATGTGGCGCAGAGCTCACATTGGTTAGAGTGGAGGTGCACTGGCGGCACTCCTTGAGCGAAGCATAGAAGCCGCTGCTGCACTCGGAGCACAGCCGCACTTGAGCGTACCCCGGCCCACACTGCCCGTACTCCCCAATGCACTGCCCCCCCTCCCCCTCCCCCTCCCCACACAGCGCATCACCACCGCCTTGTAGGGCGGATGCTGCGGCTTCAGGAGAGGAGTATTGGAGGGCAGAATTCAGCACTTGAGGGTATTTTGGAGGGTATTGGAACCCAGGGCACCCATCGAGCACGTCACACGCATACACCACCACCGCCCCTTCCCCACACTCCCCGGGTCCAGCCAATACCCTCCGCCACGTCAGCAACCCCGTCGGAGCAGGTCATGGTGGGGAGGCTCGTTCTGGCGTTGGTGGTGTTGGGGCAGGGCAGGCAGTCACTGGGGGAGGTGGCACCTTGGCGGAAGGAGAAGGTGCCATCTGGGCAGTGCTGGGCGCCCCTACCGGGCCCGCAATAGCTGCCTATGGGGCACGTGGCACAGAGCATTGGGCTTCCAGGGGATGTTGTGGGAGGCACAGGGGGTTGGTGGGGTCACTGCTGCTCGTGGTGCTGCTGCTACTCCTACTGCTGGTACCATTGTCTGCAGTTTTGTAATACTGCCCAGCCGGGCAGAAAACGATCTCGAGGTTGCGCTCGAAGGGTGGAAAGGCGTTGAGAGGACTGGTGACTGCGACAGCCAATGAGAGCACGCCAGCTGGCGCACCGGCACTGGTGCTGGGAGCAGAAGCAGCAGCAGCGTTACCAGGCCGACCAAACGCAGCAGCGGTAGGGTTACCAGGCAGTGTAACAGAAGACGCAGCAGCCGGAGGGTTACCAGCCTGTGGGATGTCGACGATGGTTATGGGCGGCACAGTGACTGCGCCGGCCACGGCTGTTGCTCTGAGCTCACCGGCGATATAGGGACTGGGAACCACCTCCACTAGCGCCGAGTTGTCCTGATGGGGTGAAGGGGGAGAGGGGGGGGAGGGGGTTGAGAGGGGGGTGAGTAGCGGGGGGATACGAGAAAAAATGGGCGGCTGCTGTCGCTCGCAGTTCACTATAGATGAAGCGACTCGGAAGGAACCGGCTCCACTAGTGCCGAGTTGTCCTCATGGCGGGAGGGGAAGAGGGGTAGAGGTGGAGAGATGATGGATGGACTGCCGGCCACTGCTGCAGCTCTGAGCCCACCAGAGATGAACGGACTGGGAACCACCTCCACCAGCGCCAAGTTGTCATCATGGGGTGGAGGGAGAGGGGTTGGTAGGTGTTCGGGGAAGAGGGAGGGGAAGAGACACGGCTGGCTACCAATGTGGCCCTGGCGACCACGGCTGTCGCTCTGCGCTCACACGAGATGAGTGGACTGCGAATCACCACCACTAGCACCGCGTTGTCCTGACGGAGTGAGAGGGG